AATAGATGGTAGCACACTAAATATGCACATACTTGTTAAAATTTTTTTTTACTCTTATCAAGTTACTGTGAAGCTTCAGGTCCTTAATTGCAACGATAAAAATAATAAATTTCATTCTTCAATCACAGTCTTTATTCTTCCCTGAATTTTTTTTTCTCACTTTCAAATTCCAAAAGTGCCTGAGAACCTGGCGAAAGAGTAGACGAATTTAAATGCAAATTTACGAAATGCAAATCTCTGTTTCATTCGTTTCTTTATTTTTATTTTAATTTTTTTACTTTTGTCTATCTTATCTTTACTTTACTTGACGAATAATTTCGGTCAAAAATAAGTCTTTACTCTGTACTGTACACTTACTGTACCTTATCGTATTTAATTTTTTTTTTTCTCATTACTAATTCTTATATAGGTACGTGAACTATCTAATACGCGAAATCGTTTGCTGAGTAGTTTTTATTTTTCAGTAGTTTTATTGCTCAGTCGAATTTTTTTACCTCTTAATCCTCGAGCTGTTTCTTTATTTCTTTTAATATTTTTTTTTTCGTCTTCTTATACTCTCTTTTTCGCGAAAAGAAAAAGGTAATGGTACTTAAAAACCGGAATTAGGTTTCTGGTATGAGATATATATGTTTGAAGACGAATATTTTTTTCACTGTACCTTAGACTTAAATTTAAGACAGTTAAAAAAAGAAAAAAAAAAAAAATAATAGGAAGTAGGGCTTTGTTTAATGACTTGTTACTACATGGAAAAATTTTAGCTTTTAATCTTTCATGAGTAGATTATTTTAATAACACTTCATTACATACCCTAGAAGTGTCAATGAATTATTTTTTTAGCTTGTATATTTGTTTTAAATAGAAAAATTTTCTTAATTATTTATTATTTTATTAATGTTAATAATATCTTATCAATTTAATAAAAAGTAATCAATAATTTTAACAATCAGCTCATTTTTATCAAAAATTTTTACAAAATTATTAATTTATTAAATAAATTACGATGATTTGATAAAAGAAAATAAAATAAATATAACTAATGTTTTTTTTTTTAATTACGAATTTTATATAAAATATATTTAAAATTAACTGAAAAATTTTTTATTAAAATAATAGTTTTCTGAAATGAATCAAGATTTATTATGAACTAATAATAATAACTGAAACGGTTTTACTCTTACTTGAATCCTCCTACATTTAAAAAAAAAATCATTCCAATTACAAGTTACATTTTACTCTGAATTTTATTTATCATAGTAGTTAAAGTACTCATTATGGTAATTATTTTCATCATTCGAAACATCCACACGGGATTAGAAAAGACATTGTTGACAATAATTAGTATAAAAGAAACGTGTCATAACATATACAAAATGAAACCAGTTTATCTATGATTATCAGTATATTATATATTAATTAAAAAAATAACTACCCATAAAATTTCAATAATATTATTTATAATTAATAGTAATTAAGAAAATTTAAAAATCATAAATAATATGCAATCTTTAAGTTGAGCTAATTAGCTTAATAAACGAAACTTTAACAGTGATTTTCTCTTAAAATACTATTCATGTAAATGAATCGGTAAGTGTTTTATAAAGTTTTCAGACACAAAGGAAGAATAAAAGTCTTCGACATCGGTAATAAAAATTCATTAATCGGAAAACAATTAACTCTGATAAATCTCATCAGTTCACAACAATCAGGAATTTCATGTGGCCCACGAATAAAAAGTTTTAACAATTTAATGCTAAGATATTCATATAAAAAAAAAATGAAACTTTCTAATGAGTTTTGAATGATGTAGAAAAATTTTAACGAGTCTGTGGGTGTAATAAAAGTAATAGAAGAGATAGGTAAGCTTAAAGGAAAAGTAGAGTGTAGACTTAGAGAAAGAGAGTAAAAGTGGGGGATTAAAATTTTCACGAGTGAACATCAAGCGGGAAAAGTACAATAGAAGTGGAACAGAAAAAGCTGCGGTTGGGCTCGCACTGATGCGCTTACTGTAAGTAGCTACTACCTACCGAGGAATCATAAGGATTAGGTTCGCGTGTCGATGTACGTCATGAAATTGCGGAGAGAAGTTATAAGCAACATGAAAGAACACGCAACATTCCATAAAACTCAATAATAATCCAATTTTAAAACATATTTCTCTAAAGTGGTGCAATCATTTTTATGTTAATTAAATATGTCTCAAATTGTTGCGATTGTTAAGTCTTTACAAGTTTTCTTTTTTTCTCAATATATTTTTTTAGTGAAAAAATTATCTACGTGTAGAGTATTAAATATTTGTTGTAACTAAAGAACTGTGTACTTGAGAAATGACAAAAAGCCTCAAGGCTTCCACTTTTTGCTCGTTAAGCCATCGCTCAGTCTACCCTTAGGAATTCGACGTGGAACAAACCAAAGAAATCTTCCATCGATGTTATTCACTGGGCGATAAAACGATAAACGAACCAAACAAACTAGTTTACGGTCTTCAAAATAATACTGAATTTAGTAAGAATAATTGCGAGGTTTAACTAACTTTAACTTTATTCCTTATATTTCAGATTTGAAATATACGAGACAATTAATTTATTTGACTAGAAGTTTGAGATATTAACAACAGAGGCAACTTTGTCTTTCGTAATATCAACATTTAATAACATTTCCTACATTTATTATGCTCCAAATAAAATATTAATTAAAGTATCTTTAATAATCACTACAAAAGAACAAAATGAATTTGAGTTATTTGAAATTGATACATTTTTTTTATGAATTCATTTAATTGGAAAAATTTTGGGGATTCTATTGAAAACTTGTATTATTAGTTCAATAACTGGAGCATATTAATTTTAAAAAAAATCATGGTAATTTTTATGATAAATTGTTTTTTCTTTAAATATATTTTAAACTTTTTCCCCAATGTCACAAAAAAATAAATTAAAAATATTTATGTATCTTTAATCATTAACAATATTTGATAGAGCTTCAGAGGGTATTATGTTGTTGAAAAAGCTACAACATAAATGTTGCTATTTATCAATGACGGCATAAATAAAAGTGTTTCTTTTATTTCATTTTTTTAGAGGATTTTTTATCTTTTATAGGTTTGTTCAATTAAGAATTTTAAGTGTACCATCGAAAAGTATAATTTAAAATACTATCAATATTTTCAAGTATTTTGTTATTTTACATAAGTCCAACAAGAATATAGTCAATACGGCATAGTCGATACTCTCAGCAATGTAACGAATGCAGAAGCAGTAACGAGAATTATCAGGGGTGGAATCAGTCAGGCGAGGTATGCAGTCAACGTTATCCGATAGCTTTTGATCTCCATCTAAATTACTAAAATCCTCATCTTGTTTAAGCTTTAATATTTATTTCATATTGTCATAACCCTTTTGTGTAAAATATATAATTGATATCTCCAAAAATCCCATTATTGGTTATTAATTAATACCAAAAATAATTTATTCCATAAACAATTTAAAGTTCTTATTAGAATCTAAATGAGGTGAAAAATATATTACAATTTTTAATAGTTTTTCAATAATAAAAACTGATTTGTTGTGAGTTTTTTTTTTTTAAGTACAAATATTTAATTGAGACATTTAACAATCAATTATTAATAAAAATATGTTATTTCTTTCTATTGTTATAAAATAAAATATTTAAACTTTTATTTCCAATAACAAAATAGAAAAAATACATTGTTGTCAATACTTAACGGACACAAAATAAAATAAACCATTTGAAATAATAATTTTCTTCTGAAGGCAACTGATATTTCATTGATTGTCAAAGAAATAAGTATTTCTAAAATTGATGTCAGCTGGTAAGCTGACCTTACTACTGATTATCCCTTAAATTTTATTCTTGGGACCAAAAACCAATTTTCCCTTTGTCAGCATCTGGCCCTTTTTATCCTCTTTTAGATAGAAAAAGCAAAGAGTCACCCTATCAGTCCTTTAGTCCTCAATTGCCGGTGAAGAATTGCTTGGAGGTGCACAGAAAGGGGGAGAAAAAAAGTGAGAAGGGTCCTCAGACACGGAGAGATGATAAATAAAGAACCTGAAGATTTTTACAACCCCCTGGTAATGTTTTACTCGCACTAATAAGTGAGAAGGAGACGTGTATTGGACGTAAAAAGACGAAAAAAGAATAAGAAAGACATGATGGAGACAGAATGAAAAAGTGTAAGACTCGTACGCAGTAGACTTTGCCGCCCTATTTCAAGTCGTCTATTCAATCTTGCTTCCGGTCAACCTCTCGAGAAATAAGATAAGAGTCTTCTTTTTTCGTGCACAAGGGCTATATGTCGCAACACAGACCCTTTCGCGGGTCCTTCAAATCTACTTCAAATAGGCTGGAAAAATTCTACGGGCTATTTGCAATTTTATTTCAATTATCTCAACCCCATTTTAAAGGACTACTTTAGCATTTAAAGGAGTAAAAAAAAAACCTTAAAAATTCTTTTAAAAAATATCTTTATATAAAATTAACCAATTTACGTATAGTTATTGAATTTGTTTAATTTTAAAAAAAAATCTATAAGCTCATGTTTATAATGAATTTATTTTGAAATTTTATTAATAAAGCAACTAAATAATTTTCAATATATTTAATATGTTACGATCAATTGGAATTTTTATTCAATTTATTAATAAATAAAAACATTTAAAAGTAATTAAGTATGAATATAATTTAAACAAAGAAATAAAACAAAAAATAAATGAATATTTTTTATTGTTTTGATGAATTTTTTTATAATAAACAATTAAAGAGATTTATTTAATATCTGCACACATATTTGATTTAAGTCAAAATATGGAGGTTTAATGGAAACATTGATATAATACCACACGCATAAGCGTGATGTTTACTTAAATTGACATAAATTTAAAACAATGCAATCAAATATCAGTAAAAGAAAATAAAATGATAAACAACGAAAAATAATGAAATTGATGATTTATATAAAAATATGAGACATGTCGATACTTCACCTGCTTTGCAAATATCAAGATCAAAGTCTCCAGTGATTGCATGTGGGAATTGAGTGTTGATTAACTCTTGAATCGTGAAACTTGGTCTTCTTGATGGTGTTGTCGTATCAGTAAAATTGTCATTGGTAATAAGAATTCGACAACTAGTTAGACGTACACTAATGAATAAAAGTGTAAGAGATAAAGCGAAAACAACAATTGTCGAATGCATCCTCATCTCGTTTGCTTTTCAGCCAAATCAACAAACTCCACACTAACTTTACACTGACATTGGCTCATAACAAAATTCGCTTTTCACTCTCACTCTCTCAAACTTTTATTTAATTCACTTTGAAATAGTCTACGGTGCTTTTACTTATCATGCAACCACTCTACTGTTAACTAAAATAATTCCGAGGACTTTTTTGTTATTTCAAACTAATGCCACGTAAAAAAAACTTTCACGTGTTATCCCGTGGTATCTATTTATTTATTTATTTATTTTTTTTTTTTTGTATTAACCAAACTTTTGTTCTTTGGTCACATTTCCACTCGTCCGAGTTCTTAATACGTTTTTACTAATGATTACTATCAGTCTAAATGTTCAAAACTTTTATTCAAAAATAATCAACTTAATTTATTTAAATATTATAAATTAATTATCAAATTTATTTTAATTATTTATTATTTACTAATATTTTTTTTTTTATTATTTATTTACTTTATATTTTATTATTTTAGGCAATGAGTTACTTAAAATGAAGATCAAGTTTTCATGGTTACTTGTCTGCGTTATTGTGGGATTGTGATAATCGGTCAACTCGCTGACAGTTCGGTCAAAGTTCGAGGTAAGTATGGATAGCAATGTTGTATCTTGATTTTTTTTTTTTTCAAACACTTTTATTGAACGATAAACATCGTATTCTCGCGAACGTAGAGGATCGACTGATTCTGTCCTGTACGTCCGTCTGCTCGTTTGCCTCGGCTCGACTAGACGTTCCACGTTCGAAAGCGCGCTTCATGCCAAAGAACTGCGAAGCCGTGAGAGCGCGCCGTACAAAAGGGTGGTGGGGAAGACAACGTGCGCGATAGGGTAACTTTTCCTATTAATTGCCCTCAAATTTATTAAAATAAATCATTTTTATTAACCTATTTTAATCACTTATAAGTCGATCTGAATACATCTATTCCGGCTATAACAACATTCAATCAAGTATGCTAATCATTTTTCTAAATTACTTGGCACGTCCGGATGATTAGAAACAATACATGATTTAATTAATAATGATACTTTTAATTAACGAGATGACATTTTATGAATATTTTAAAGATTTATTTTTAAATGTGTTGATGCTATTATCTAGGATAATTGATCAACTGAACTATTTATTTATAAATTTTTTATGAATTATAAACTTTTCATTGTTGAAAAGAAATAATAATATTTCATTTTATTAAAACACTTGATAACATTTATTTAATTGATAAGGATGCATAATTGTCACGAAATAAATTTTTATATTTTTGGAATATACCAAAATAATTCATCATTTTTACATTTTCAACATCATTAATAATTAAAATAGAAATAAAAAAGTATTGTGAATAAATATTGTAATGATAATTTTATTTAATTTTATGTGTTCGAAAAAATGTAATGGTTACAAACAAAATGATAATTTTTATTTCTAAAATATTGAGAAAGTTTTCAAATTTCTAAGCTCTAGAACTGTTAGCACGTAGATGACATAACTCCAATTGAACATTAAACAAAATGACTCAAAGATTATCTCTTTAAAGTTTTTTTGCTCCTAAAAGATATCATTCAAAAACTACTGTTCCTAAATTTGAGTTAATATTAAATTATTCCAATGTATGTCCACCTTTTTTTGAACAATATTTTATTTTGAATAAAAATCATTGTCAATTCGATATGAATGAATATTTAAATGACAACATATGTAGTTAACCTGCATTATAATTATGATAGTTCCATAAAAATACGTGTTTTGCATTGAATGAATGTGTAAAGGAGGAAAGAAAAAGTTACTGATCCTCGTTGGATCGTTGGAGCGTCGAATTACAGTCATGAGATCACCCCTTTTGCACTCCCTTAATTTCGACATCGAAATGAGGGTTGTAATATATGTTCAAACTCACCGGAAACCCTGTATGAAACATTGTATAATTTACAAAAGGGGAATAGTTGTTGCATTGAAAAAATAAAAAGAAAAAATATAAATTGTCTGGCACGTGCTCTTCTCCATTTACATTTATGGTTCTAATTATAACTTTTAATTTTATAATTTCATTCTTATCTTTTTGTTTCATTCTAAAGGCTAAATTATGAAATTAATTAAGAATATGCTCTTGATCAATTTACATTTATATTTAATTAAACTTCATTTGCTACTACTCCAATAATATTACTTACTAAAATTATTAAATTAAATTAATAATAATTTCATTCTGAGAATTTTTTTGTTAGCAATATTTTGTTCTTCTCTATTACATTTACACTTTTTAATTAATGAAGCTCTCTTTATTCTCATTTTTTTATATTTGATGTAATAGGTAAATTTTATCAAATAAATCAACTATTTCAATTGAAGCCAATGAAAATATTTCTTAATTTATTTTTATCTAGATCTCAAATAATTTCATTTAATAGCAGTTAAGTCGAATTGTTATACATATATCTTAAAATAAATTGAAATGTAAATATTCAACCGACTCTTTGTAAAGTTTCATAGAGTAATCGAACTGACTTTCTATACTTGTAGACCAGTTAGAGGTAAATTCAATGTAAATATATCTGAAACTTTAGTGTAGTATTTACTAAGTAAGAATAAATACAGAAAATTTAAGATGAAAAAATGTAAAAAAATTTTTATTAAAAGACGAGTAAAATTTATTCTCAGAAATTTACATTTTATAACAAAGTAATATGCAGATAAGTATAATTAAATAAGCTAAATATTTATAAGGACAATGTTCACTATACGATTAATCAAAAGTATTTCATTATATACTTACTTTTAATCTTCTTGTCAAAAAAGTAAGGAAAAAAATGGTACAATAAAAAGAAGAAAGTTAATCAAATGAAAGTAACATAAGCGATGGCCTCAGCTGCATCCACTTCTGGATACATTGACCCTGCAATTAAAAACTGCAATTGGATTCTCTGTTCAGAATATGCTTGTAAATATAACTGAGTCTCTAATTAATTCTACAGATCATGTATGTATCGTTGAACTACGCAAGATTTTCTCGTTTATGATTCAGACGATCATTACTGACAAATGTTGCATATGAAGGAGAAAAAGGAAAAATAATTCAATATAAATAAAGAAAAATTTTAAATATATATATAAATTTAAAATATTATAGAAAGAGAGAGAGAGAGGAAAAGAAGAATTTACGTGCCTTCGCACTGTGCAGACTCCTGTTTCATCGTCTGTATCGCCAAGGGTAATTAAGTCGTCACACATCGTGGATGCGGTTAACGTTCCCCTTTTGCCTTAATTGGATGTAAACGTTTTTAAGAACGAGACTGTGACTTAAAGTCATAGCAGAGTGAATATTCAATTTTTAAATCGGTAATTATTTACTTCAGTAATAAATTTTATTACTTTATCAATAATTTATTTTTTAATTATCGTGTATTTATACAGCTATTCAATTGAGACCTAAATGAGTTTTTAATTTTTTTATAAATGTTCTATTAGAATAAACTTTGTTTTCTCTCCATACCCACTTCCCATCAATATTAGCTAAACATTTCTTATTAAGTATATCAAAGTAAATTGTACCAATTGTTTTGCTTAAGAGATCTTGATTTTGTTTGAGACAATTGTAGAAGGCCTCATCACACTCGCAACTTAATCTGTTAAATGAAATTCATCATAAGTATTTTTATCTTAATAATCGTTTTTTTAAATCAATTAATAAAAATTAATAATTATTTAATTGAATCTTTAATTTTCATAAAATCATTTTGTCAATTATTGCGAAATATCGAAGAGATAAAAACTCTTTCAACTTATAGATAAGAAACATATACATATGTATTTCTTTAATTTAAAGTCAAGGTCTTCACATAAAAATTTTTCAGAATAAATTATTCATATTATTGTTTATAGTCATAAATACCTGCTCGAACCATCAGTATTATTCAATCCATGTAAAGATTTTCCAGCTTCGATAACTACGGGACATAGATCATGAGCTCGACAACAGATATCTGTTCGATTAAATCTTCCAAGATCCTCCTTAGTTTTCGCTTTATCACCTCTTCCACACCACTTTGTTCCTGAAATAAAAAACCTTTAGATACTGATCACAATTTAATAAATAATTGATACATAAAAAATATACCTGGTACAATAAATCCGTATTTTTGCTCTCGAAGTTTTACAAAATAAGGATCATTGTACATTTCCTCAGTAAACCAGCCTTCATCGAGATCAAACTGATCATCTTCGAACTGAGTATGAACAAATAAACTATAATTGAGCACAAATAGAAACAATAAGAGCACTCTTAGCATTTTTATCAACTTGATGTTTCACTCTTACTGTATCAAATGCAACTGTAGAAAAAACAAAGAACTCGAATGTTTTATTCTGACGTATTACGCACTTTAGATAACTTATTTATTACTCATATTTTGTAAATTACATTTTTTTTTAATCTATTACTCAACATATGATCATAACTACTAAAGGTAGGTTTGCGTAAATTTTGTTATAGTTTACTGATAATTCATAGAATTTGTATCACTATTTCATAATAAAAGTAGTACTGAAGAAATATTCAATCGAAGAGCTGATGAAATATTATTATAAAAACTGTATTCAAGTTTCCATTTGAAACTTTATAGACTTTAAAGATATCTTTATATTTTATTTTTAAAAACACTATAAATTTTTTATAAAATAAATAACTTATTGCTTTAGGCATTTGGAAGAAAATCACACTTCTAAGATTTGTTCATGAGAATAATCACTCTATCAACGTATAAACTGTGTAGTTTTTAAGATAAACTTGATTAGTACTCGAAGAATAATGAGTATTGTACAGAAAGTATTAATTGTCTTTATATTAACTTTGATATAAATCTAACGATTTTGCTGCTAGAGAATGGCCTTGTATGTGTCCATTTATACAGATTGCTATCAGGATAATCATCCATGTTACTGGTGAAGCATGGTCGCTTAAGGATATCAAAATATAAAATTCCTATTGTTTTGCTACTCATAGTTCGAGTTCTTTTTAAACAATCGAAGAATTGTTCGTCACAGTCACAGCTTAATCTGAAAATGAAAAATTCATTAGTGAAATTAATTTTTAAGTAACTCTATTGTGTAGAAATAAAAAAGAGTAAATCTGCATAAAAAAAACATTTACAGAGTTGTAGATCCATTATTTGTTAATCCATATTTGGTCATGCCTCCTTTAATTTTTTCTGGGCAACGGTCGTGTTGCTTACAACACATATCCGTTAATCGATATTTTCCAAAATCTTCTTCATGTTTAGCTTTATTTCCTTGTCCACACCATTTCGTTCCTGTAATAATTAATGTATAAATTTTTTCAGAACCCTTTTGTATCTCATAAATTCCAAAGTATTGAATTTATGAATAATGAATGATCAAGTGACAATTTGTATCAATATTTAATGAACGTGTTTAAGTATCAAATTTATATGTACACTTGACAACTTTATTAACATGATTTATATAAAATTACCTGGAAAAATGGTTCCCCACGTTTTTGTCTTGTTCTTTGGAGGAGCACTAACGTTATTATCAAGTTCAAGGTCGGAAGGAGGAAAGTCAATTTCTGACTGAGCAATGGCAAGATAAATAAAGGAAATGACTAACCAAAATTGTCGCATGTTGATTCTGTAAGTATGAAAAAAAAATAATAAAGAATATGGATGTTACCTTATTTATAGTTAAAAAACTAGAACGCTGACTCCAAACGCACAAGTGTTTATGAATTAAAGAAAACATATTCAATGTCAGTTGAAAGCATTTTTAAAACAAAATTACTAAATTTCGGAGTATTAATTTGAAAAAGTAAATATATAAATATATCGATTAACAAATAGATAAAATTCCTGCACATTTTATTTTCAAACCTTGCATGCAACTGAATTTTAATGCACTGCAGATGGAGAACTTATTGATTCAATTGCAGAGATAAAAATTACAAATGATAATAGAAAATGTAATAACTTTAAATGAAAATCTATGCACAATGAATAAAATAAATCAAGAATTGATTACAAAAAGAGACTGTAAAGTATAATTATATTCGTTTTATGCTTACCCGATTTTCAATATGTGGAAGGATAATTTTTTACCTCAGATGTATGTGTTATGTAAAATTGAAATATGATTTAACGATTTTATCAGCGCCCTCATCAACATTCCAACCCTAGAAATTTAATACTCTGTCATCTATCAAGTTTATTGTAAGCTAAAAAATGTCTATCAGTCACTTATATTTGTGCTTGTATGATAAAACAGTACAGAGTTCTTTCTCGGAAGGATTCTCGCACATTTATTTACGATAATTTTTATCCTAAGAACGAGAACTTATTTACACCAAAAATGTCTTTAGCACTTGGAATGTGCGAAACACCAGGATGTAAAGCTGTAGCAAGTCTTCAGTGTCCAACTTGTTTGAAAATTGGAATTCAGGGTTCATATTTTTGTAGTCAGGTAATATTTTTAGGTTATCTAAGACTTTACTCATATCATCGTCTATTTAATTTTTTAAAGATTTTAGAGTAAACCATAAATTAAAATTTTTTTAATGACATAAATGACTCAATAGAATAAAGTATTTAATAACAATGGAAATATTTACGTTTAATGGAGTTGTTTTATTCTAGGATTGTTTCAAAGGAAGTTGGAAAACTCATAAAGTGATTCATGGCATTGCTAGTAAGTGAAAAGTTCACAATTTATTCTAAAGTTCAATTTATCTTTATTGAATATTTCTGAATTAAATTCTAGAAGGCGAGGGTGCCAAAAAAAAGACAACTGGAGAGTATAACCCATGGCCATCCTATCACTTTACTGGAAAATTACGTCCTTTTCCACAAGTACCAAAGAGAGAAGCTCCCAAAAAAATTGTTCGTCCTGATTATGCTAATCATCCAGAGGGTGTTCCTTTAAGTGAACAAGCAGTTAGAGGATCTTCTCAAATAAAAATCCTTGATGAAGAAGAAATTGAAGGAATGAGAGTAGCTTGTAAGTTAGGTCGAGAAGTCTTAGACGAAGCTGCTAAAGTATGTGATGTAGGAGTGACTACCGCAGAAATTGATCGAATTGTATACGAAGCATGTATTGAACGAGATTGTTATCCTTCACCTTTGAATTATTATCAATTTCCTGCAAGCTGTTGCACATCCGTTAACGAGGTGATTTGTCATGGGATTCCTGATACAAGACCTTTGGAAGACGGTGACATTTGTAATGGTATTATTATTATTATTATTATTATTTCCAAGCCTGGTTCATCTTTATATAATAAATTGTTCACTTATATTATTTAAAAATTAAATTCAATATATTGTATTCCAATTATATTTAATTCAAAAAAGGATTAAAAAAAATTTTTGTTATAGTTGACGTAACTGTTTACCATAAAGGCTTTCATGGAGATTTGAATGAAACTTTCTTAGTTGGGAATGTAAAGCCGGAAGTAAAGAAACTAGTCCAAGTGACCTACGAGTGTCTCTCGAAGGCTATCGATATCGTCCGACCTGGTGAAAAGTACAAAGACATTGGAAATGTTATTCAAAAGCATGCTCAAGCCCATGGCTTTAGTGTTGTTCGTAGTTATTGCGGTCACGGAATTCATCGACTTTTCCACACAGCACCAAGTGTTCCACATTACGCCAGTAAGTCTTTAAATTTAAATTTTATTTTTTTGTATAACTTGAAAACAATGAGAAATATTAAAAAAAAATTATTCCAAATATATATTTATTTCTAACAAAATATTGCTACTACCGCAAAAATAACTTTGATAAAATTTTCAATTTATTTACAAATACTTTAAGAGATTGATCTATCAATGAAATAATTATTTGATTGGTAATTAACTGTGGTATCTGTTTATTTATCAGAAAATAAAGCAGTGGGAGTCATAAAAGCAGGTCATTGCTTCACAATCGAACCAATGATTTCTCAGGGAACTTGGCGAGATGAAATGTGGCCAGATCATTGGACTGCAGTTACTGCAGATGGCCAATGGTCCGCACAATTTGAACACACTCTTCTTGTCAATGAAAATGGCTGTGACATTCTGACAAAACGACGTACTAATAATGGGCAGCCTTGGTTCATGGATAAGTTATAATAAATGGGAAATTTATTGTATCAAATTTTTCGTGTAAGAGTCAGAAGTAGACTCATTGTTAATTTTTTGCGGTTTTAAACCAGCGTCATCCCTCGTGTAAATTTTCATCCAGCTAATCATGGAAATGATCATGAGAATTTACAGCGTGCCTTGTATCATACCTTCCCATTTTTTCGAAAATTAAAAATCAACAAATGTTTAAAAAATAAATAAACATTTTTTTTAAGTCATTTAACTTTTTACAAATTCTAATATAATTATTTAATTTTTTGCTAAATCTATGAATAAATAATTGTCAAATAAATAAAGCTTACATCGAGACATTGTCTCTGTGAGCAATAAAAAAGATTCAATCTATTTACAAATCCCTTGTTTTCTTGTCAAAAGAAATGTAATTTTCTATTTTCTAGATCTATTCTTAATACGTGAGCCAAAATCAGAGCTTATATTTTCATAATTTTCTTCATTAGGTTTAGACGATTTTGCATCGGAAGTATCACTCTCACTAGTATCATAATCATAATCATTGTTAGAACTCAAGGAAGTTTGTAAAGACTGTGGCTTTTCTTGAACTTCAGGAACCATAATTCTTAATGGTCTTTTGTCTTCTTCACTCTTATCTTCTTGTTCTTGCTTTTTTTGTTGTAACATATCCCTTTCATAATGTTTATCAATTACTTCCTGAAAAATATTAAAAATTTAATATAATTCAAGTTTGGAAGTTGAAAAATACTATACCTGTTCTTGTTTAATCTGTTGTTGTCGATAATGCTGTCGATATCTTTTTTGCGCTCCATTTCTCAATTGTTGTCTTTGTCTGTAATGATCTTGAGCTTGATTAGGTACATCATCGATTTGCTCATTCACTTGGTAATTTCCTTTATGATTATTAGGTACTGGCTCATCATTCTGTTGACTTTCATCTTCATATTCTTGTTGTTGTTGTTGTTGTAACTGTTGTTGTTCCCTTTCTTGTTGTTTCTTTTGTAATTGTTGAATTAAATGACTATTAACACTGCCAGCTGCAGCTAAAGCTGCTAATTTCTCAGCAGTTTCCCGATTTGGAAGAGTTGTATAAAACTGGTTTGGAATTGATCCTTCACTTTCAACATTATCAAAGTAGTTATTTGGATTCACTTGTTCTGTATTTTCAGATGCAGCTTCATATTCAATATTATTTTCTGGCTGTTCAACTGATTCTATTTGATATCGGAAATCATTATTTGGCTTAACTGCAAAATTTTGAACATCTTCAGGTTGTTCAGGTTGTAGATTATAATCAGCTGTTACTCTTCCAGAAGCATAGTCTTGTTCAACAAGAATTTGTTGTTGCTGTTGTTTATTAGATTGTTCGTCGTAATTAAATGAGTGCATTTGAGGTTGGGAGAAAGTTGTCGGGTTGGCTTCCGGCTGAAAAAGCTGTCCCAACTGTTGTTGAAGAATGTGTTGTTGTAATTGAGGTTGGTGACCTGTTGAATACCCCGCGAATGATTTAGGAAAATTGTTAAATAAATCATAAAATTGTGACCCTGGTATAGGTGGACCGGACATTGCTGGATGGCCCACGTGAAGATCAGAATTTTGTTGAAGCTCTGAAATCTGTGAGTTTAAAATCGGAGCTTGAGCTGCGCTAGCCGGGAATCCAACATGAAGTGAACTGTGTAAATTGGTTTGCATAGGCACGTTTGGTTGTGCAAATTGAATATTCGTGCCAACTACTCCAGATCTGGAAACAGATGGATGGTTTATGTAGACTTCGTTAGACTGCAAATCAGTATGAGGACCAGAAGGAACTCGAGAAGATTCAAATTCCGATGGGAAGTAAGTTGGTGTAACTGTTGGATAATCTCTTATTCCGCCCTCATTATTAGCTTCTGTGACTTGATATGAACTTTGAGTTGGTGTCGGATTTGTTACTGATTGTTGAGATTCATGAGTTGCTGAAAAATTGTAGTCAAAATATGTATATTTAATAGAAGTAAAAACAACTGTATCAACTTACCTTGGTCATTAGGAGTATAATCAGAATCTACAGGATATCTTCTATAATCATTCTGATTGTTGTTGCCTCTACTATGTTCTGCAGGATTGTAGGGCTTATCAGCAATGCTCAAATTAGGTGCAGGTATCGTATGAATTGGTCCCTTATCATCGTCAATTCCTCCTCTGTGAGTCGATGGGAAAGATAGAGGTTCGGGTTTATATTCAGGACTATATTGTGGATCTACTTTCATAACTTTGAACTCTTGCGGCGGTGCTCGCTGTGGAAGAAGGGGAAAACTTGACATCGGACTCATTGAAATTTGATTCTTCCAGTTTGCTGATAGAGTATTCAACTGATTTGGTAGTGGCCTTCGCATTCTAGCAATAATAATATTAATAAAATAACCTAATTGCAATTAGAATTAATGCTTTATGCATTTTCAGTTTACATTTAATAGATTACTCTTTTCCAAATTATCAATGAATCAGTCCATAAAGTAAATAATGATACCTGAAATTATTTGGTTTGATATAAACTGGTCTCTTATGCGGAAAATTATTGTTTATGTGAATAGTGTTTCCCATAGATACTCGATGAGTAATTGGCCATGATTTTTTAATCATTTGTGGTAGTGGTGGAGGCGGTGGAATTGGTAATAAAGGTCGTCTCATTTTATATCTTGCTTCTGATGATGATAAACATGCGACTACCACCAGTAACCAAGGAATCCAACTGTAAGCCTGTTGAATATTTTTTTTTTTTTATAGTTATTTATCCTAAAAAATGCATGATTATTTTTTTTTTTTTAAAAGAAAGAGGTCAAATTTCAAGTTTTCTTACGGTACTTCTAGAGTTATCGTTCACACTTTGACCACTTAACTTTCAGATGAATAAATAAATGTGTCCCTTCACTCAGGACTGTTGTTACAGGTAGTATCATTATCTGATGAGAGAAATAGTCGGATGTTGAGCGATTACGAGAGAACGCGTAGAATCTGGATAAAGTGGAACAACGTGCCACATCCATGTGATGGATAAAGCATTCTATCAACATGTTATTTGCTCGTCATACAAGAAATTTATTTAAATATAGCGAGAGTTGATGAGTCCAAGAAAAACATAGAAAACTGTTATCAATTGTCATTTAAATACTAATCAAGTATATGATTTCTAATGACTGACTGCGAGTATTACTATTAAATGAAACGAGAAATTTCTTGAAAGTATTTCTAGGATTCGAAATTTGATTATTTTAATGAATAATAAAAGGCATTAGTGATTTTACAAGTTCTGGAAAGCTTTCTATCATCATATAATAATTCATTGAATTACTTTTCATTCAATTTCATTGAATTATTTTAATTAATTATTATAGAAAATTACAAATCGTCTTTAATTTACAACAAATTATATATAAAATTTCAATAATAATAAATAAATGGCCACGAAAATTTTTTTAAATATGATGAGCAGCAATAAAATACGGAATATTATACAGGCTACTTAATAATATGATTTTTAAATAATTATAATAATTGATAATTTAATTTACATAACAATCATTTGAATATTAATGAGAAAAATCGAATGTATTAGGATATCCGAGAGAGAATTGCTAAATTATGGTGATATAATAAACGACGAATTAATTCGAGTTATAATACCATTCTATCTATTATCTCACACTATCTTTCGCTTCAATTCGTATAGTGATTAATTGTAATTTATTTGTCATCAATAACCACGACTAATCCTATTTATCCAACATACCATCAATTCATTTTGACACATTTACTATTATAATTAGAATCACAAATTTCATAACAAATCTAATAGTTAAATGATTGTGGAAATAAAATTCAAGAAAATAAATACCTTCATTTTTAGAGATGAAGTAGATGAAAATTAAACTTAAATCCTTGAAGCCTTCCTAAGGAAGGAATCTTTAGCTTGCGTAGAAAAACGTAGATTTTTTTTTTGTATTTAAACTTGACTTGGAGATCGTTTAGGTAGGAAGCACTGATCGTTCTGCACGCAATTAGGTCATTGTCCTTCATTTATACTTGACTCAAGCCGCCGTATCTTTGTCTTACCTTCTTTTCCCTTCTCCAAACATGTTAACACCTTCTCTGTTTTCAGTTTAATATTCTATACCAACAAACTATTTTACTAACAATTCAAAATATATTGTTACTTATTGATGACAAAACACCTACTCTAAATCAGGATCCAAATTAAATCTGCAATCAAAGTGGATCATTAGGTCATATGTAAACAGTCAATAATAAAAATTTTCGCTTTCACCATAATATACATATTTGAATTGCATATTTAAAAACATTTAATATCAATGTATATTAAAAAAAATGTTGTCATTGATAATTAATTATTATAAGATAAGAATTTTTAAAGACATCTATCAAGATAAATCTCCAGTAGTTGTTTTTTTGATAGCCCAACATCAATATAATTAATTGGTAATGAATTAAAAGTAATAGTGAAACTTTGTAAAGTGATGTATTTTTATGTCTATGAAATGATAAAACTTAATTTTAATTATTTTAAAGTTAATATTAATTTAGAACTAGCTTTTAATCGTTAAATGTTGACCTTTTATGTATTGTTTAGTTTCAATGTATCCGAGCTTATTATGATGATTGATTTTCATCATTATAGTAATTTAATTGTAGAACTACAGAAAAAATTAACAAAAAAAAATGAATTTTATATGAAATCAAGTTCAGTTGTGTTTACAAGTAAAAACAAATAATGAGTGATTGGCAGTTAAACTTGAAATATTAAACTATCAAGTTCAAAGTGATCAGCCTTGATTGTTTAAAAGTTTAACAAACATATATCGACCCAAATAGTCAAGGTAAATTGCTTGAGGCTGGGATCAATGTACGCTTGTTCTTCCCATTAATGCATTGATCTTCAATTGACTAGTCTATCCTCCTTTCTCTCCTTATTCTCGTACGCTCTCCAGTGTGTACGTGATTGAGATTGATTTCTAAGCTTGCGAGTAAAATGCATTAATGTATGATCCAGTGACCCAAAAAGTTCACTCGCCTCGTAAGCGTTTCTACTTATCAGGGGAAAAGATCTTCTTGAACGTCAGTTGGATAAAAAAATTATGCAACTCTCTCATTCATATCTGCTTCAAATATAAATAAAAAAGAGTTTTATTAAATCAATAAAAAATTAATTGCCTTCATCAATTGTCAAAGTAATGGTTATCAATTATAATGACTGTTATTTCGATGAAAATTTTTAAGTCAAAGTTATTACTTGATTCTTATTTTGGATTTTTTTTAAATAATTATTTTAAAATTATATATGTGTTGACGAAGGCATCTTCATATATACTCATAAAAGAATACTAATGAACCCGTTAAGACGTAACTGTTAACAGTTATTAAAAATGAATATGGGTAACTGTAATTAGTATGTAAGTAATATAATGGATGATTCAAAAGATATGGTGGCGTCTCGCATTGAGCAAAACCAGTCATCAGCAAAAACTTGCAAGGTCATTCTCAAGGCCTTTAGTACAGTAAACAATATCCATAATAGAGATAAATTTGTATTTGATTATCGTAATGAATTTAATGACAATTAATAACTATCACCAATCTTATAAAGTTCAAATAAATATAGTTTCTCAATCATCTTTTCAGGTAGGTGTTAAAAAATAATAAGAACCATGTCTGTAATAAGTAATTTAGAAAGATTAATCATTATTCTAGAAATTTAGATATCAAAATTCTTTAATTATATTAATTACTTACATAGTGCTAACAGCAGCATATCCAACGTATGCTACTTGATTATGTTTACATTTTCCGGTTATAAATTCTCGGTACAAAGAACATTCGGTTGCAGGAAATGCATAAATATTATTTACGCTTTCCGCATAAATTTCCCATGACCTCCAGTGAGAACACAAGTCTGAAAAATATTTATTATCAGTATATTAAAAGCCATATTTTTTAAAAATTAAAAGAAATACATTACTATTATACCTGCTGGAGTTAAAGGTAATCCAAAAAGAGGACATCCTGGCTGAGGTCTTGTTCCTGTATTAGCAAAAAAATCTACGGTCCCTGTGTTCGAAATTGCTCCATAAAATCCTCCATCAGTGTGTATAATATCAATAAATTCAGCACTGTCAGCATCTATATGTTCCTCTCCTGGCCCGTAGAATCCTGGATTAGCTGGATCTAATCCTAAAAAAAAAATAATTAACAATTTAGATGATTTTTTTTTACTTGAATGCTAATGATTTCATTTCGAAAAAAGGTATCACATCACCTGTAATTCTAGGAGTCAGATATCGACTAAACTTGCCGATAAATCCAGCTATCTGAGCCCCTAACGAATGACCAACTATATGAAACGTTTTTAAGTCTAATCCAAGATCAATAAGCTGATCAAATATTTTTGTAAATACCAAAGCTATTTTTGGAGAATTTTTGACAACTTTTATATACGGATCATACGCTAAGTTACTCCAATCTGCTAAAAATATATTATCTGTTCCACGTTCTAAGTAAGCTGAAACAAAAATTATTTTGAATTATTTTGAAGTATTATCAATTCATTAAGTATTTCTAACTGATTCAATTAAAGGATTGTGAGGATAATGTATTTAATTATCACAATAATTGTCATTACCTCCGACTATTGTTCTTATACTCTCATTTGATGGATGCTCATGGAAGCCATGAATATAAATTACTAATGGTTTCAGAGGGTCAATGTATTGATAAATTATTGTTGGCTTATCCACTTGAATATTAATCATTGTTGCTTTATCGATATTTTGTCTAAATAATAACAGTTTATGAGTATACTTCTCAATAAAACAAACATAAAATAGTCTTTAAGATTACACATGAACGTAATTAAAGAACAAACCCCGTATAAACTTTAATTTCTAGCTGTTTTACAATTTTATGATGTTCTCTCTGAGCATGTTTCCACTCTTTATCATTAAGTCGATTTATGGCAGTTCTATCTAAAATCAATAAGCAAATTAAAATAAGCCTTTTTTTTAACAATAGACATTAAATATCAGAGATCATATCATTTTTAATGACTAACCGTTTGTAGATTGGAGTAATTGTTTTCCAGAAGAAAAATTTTCAATAGAGACAATTAATATAATTAAATAACCAGTGTAAATAATTTTCATCATTATATTATGAATCTCGAAGTAATTTTTAATATATTGAAGTGTCATTTAGGTTGAGATTTACATTCTTAGAATATTCCTTTACTGATAAATACTAATTGACATTTCATGATGATTTCCTTTTAACTTTTATTCCTTTACCCTCTCCACCTTTGTTTAGTATCAGAAAAATATGAAAAGAAAACCAGATAACTAAAATGTCATATAACAATCATCAATTATCTGTATGAAAAAACAATATAAAAAAGCTTTTAGATGATAGTTATTATTTCTCTGAAAATGTTAAAAAAATGTAACTTAAAAATAAAAATATACTGTTTGTCATTTGGAAACATAAGAAAATATAAATTGAAAATAATGAAATTAGGATTTAGCCTTATGTTTATACTTTCCGGTAATTTATAAAATTATCTTCTACCAATTGGTCAAATATTGTTGTGTAATTCTCAGTTGAAAATATTCTCAGTCATAATAAGTGCTCAGTTTACTATTTTCAATATGATAAAAAAATTAATTTATAAAATTTAAACATAAATATTATATTTATTATAATTTTATCTTGTATATTTATAAATGGATTAGTACAAAAATCATTAAAATTTGTAAATTAAAAAAAATTTCCATCATTAATTATAGCGATAGAAGAACCTTTTTCCATCTGCAAATATTAATTTATTCAAATTATTTAACAATCATTTAAGAGTATTTTTAATGTTTTTTACTTACTCGTTGGAAGTTTGGCATGCTCCAGGATTTAATCCTTCTTTTTGTTGAGCAATCATCAATTCTTCACCAGTGATAAGATCGTTACTAGGAACTTCTGATGTCATAGAATCACGCACTGTTTCAACTTTCCTAAAAACACGTATTAAATTACGACCTGCAAGCTTTTCGAGATCTTCTTTAGTCCAAGATGGTTCATTTTCACGGTTTTCAAAAAGTCGATCAAATATTTTTGGATATTTCGATACATCTTCCAACCCTTCTGGCACACTGTGTAAAATAAATTACATAAATTAACTAAATCATTTTATAAGGATAGCATTCAATAGTCATTGACATACTCATCAACTCCATCATAATCACTTCCAATTCCAACATGATCCACTCCTATGAGATTTTTTATGTAATTGATATGTGCTAAAAAACAAGATCAATATTTATTTCTACTAATAAATCAATGTTTTTATGATGTATTACCGACTACAGTTTCAAGAGATGCATTTTTTGTTGGATCGCAGTTGATAAATTTACTAAAAAAATTGATCATAATAACTCCCTCATTTTTTTTCTGAAAATATAAAAGTTATATAAGTTTATGTATTACATCACATAACAAATTTAAGAAAAAAAATTCATCATAGTTATAAAATATAATTAAATAATTGGGTCACACATACGACTAAATGCAAGACGTCATCAGGTACATTTCTATAGTGGTTACAAATACTAAATACTGAAGAATGAGAAAATATCACAGGTGCTTTGCTTATAGCCAAAACTTCTCGCATAACATTATGTGACACGTGGGATAAATCTACCATAATTCCTAATCGATTCATTTCTTTGACCACCGCCTGATAATAAGATTAATTTAAAATAAATGAAATATTATTCCATTTTTATTCTTGTAATATATTTAACGTACACGGCCAAAATTAGTCAGATTATATACTGAATACTCTTCAACAGTTGAAGCATCGGCCCTGAAAAATAAAAATTATTATTTCATGTGAAAGAAAATGAATTTTTACTATATAGTTTTCATTTAATTCTACTAATTACTAATCATTAATTAATACCTACCAAGGTGTATTGCATACATGAGTAAGAGTGACGTAACGAACGCCAAGCTCATAAAAAATTCTTAAAACTGCTAAACTCGAGTCCAACGAATGTCCTCCTTCAACTCCAATCATTGAAGCTATTTTTTTATTTCTCCAGACAGTTTCAATTGATTTAGCATCTGTCACTAATTGCAATCGTGATGGATATTTTTGTATAAGACGCTTAATTACATCAATTTGCCGAAGAGTTAATTGGAGTGAATCTTTATATTGAGATTCACATGAAGTATAAGCTACCCAAAACTATAAATATATTTTCATATTATTAGATGATAAGATATATTTTTTAACATAACGATGTTTCTTACTTGACCTCCGACTTTTCCAGTAGTTAAACGAGGCAGATCAGTATGACAAGAGTTGCATGTTCTCAATCCCATCAAGGGATCATGAGTGAGGTCATTATCGAAATGAAAAGCACTTAAATTATTTGCATATTTATTGTAGATATTCCACGGCAAATCGTTGTGTCTAAATATTATTATTTAATATACTTGATACATAAAAATAACATGTAAATATTTTAAAAAAAAATATTTACCCATCTATTAATGGAACAGAGTCTAAAGCATCACTTCCCTTAAATGGTTTAACACTTATTCCAAAAGTTAATCCAACAATTAATACAAAAAAAGTAACTGCAAATACTCCTGCGCTGATATAAACCATTTTTCCTATTGAAAAAAATAAATTTTTCGTATTAATTTAATTAAATTAATTAAATTACTCTAAAGCTTCAATATATATATATATATAGATATATATTACCACACATTATTATATAGAATAATTAGAATATAATACTAATGATGAAAAAATATGTATTTGATAAGAAATAATTTAATTAAGAATTTTTTTATCTACGAAGATTGTATCAAGATTAGAATATTATTTAGTGACAATCATTTACAAACAGAAACAACAATGCTACGGCTAGAATTTATATAGCTTCATAAACGGATATGCAAGTCATTAAACATAATCTAACATAGATCACACCTTATTGCAGATACTAATAAAGACTTAGTTATAAACTAACACCACTTGCGACTTGAAAGTGGTACAGATAAAATTACAAATTTAATTGATCTAATTTTTAACTAATTATCACTTCAACAACTGCCTTCTTCCTATAAAAATAATTTAGAAGATTTATCTAATTTTTAATTGTCTTTTTAAAAATAATTTATTTCTTAACAATAATAGTTTGTAAAAAAAAAAATATTTACCTTGGTTCAAATGAGATAAATCTATGCGGAAAATGAAATCTAGTCAGAACAAATGTTGTCTAGCTTCTGAAGGTATAGGAAGTATAGATCCTCTTGATACCTCTCCCTATCTTTGTACTACTTATGAACAATTCGGAATAATTTATCTTAAATTAAATGCATTGGATGATTATCGTTGGTGATTGGATGATTTTCGAATAGGGACTTGGAAAAACACACTTGTGTAATAATGTCAAATCCAAGTGCCAAAAATGTTATAAGAAAGAAAGAAAAACAATGAATATATATTTTTTTTAATTTTAAACTTGATATTTTTATTGAATTATTTTATCAATAAAAAATTTTGTGTTAAACAATAACTCTTTGAGAGAAAAATTAATTTTATATCACCAAAGATTAATAAGAAATTCGATTCTAACAATCGTACAATTTATTACACACAAAGAATACATTTTAAAGAGATGATTATGATGTTACTGAACCATTTTTTGCTACCATTTGTTTTCTACATATTCTACAACTCTTTTATTATTTTTCGGAACTATTTAATATTACAATTAGAAAAAAAAAAACTGATTTTAAATAATAAAAAAAAAAAAATACTGAACGTTTTAGCTAATGATACATAAAAAAAAGCAAATAAATATTTTGTGGTAAAATTCATAGTATGAAAGCTAATTATCGTAGATATTTTTTCCGTATTTTGTTAAAAATACGGAAAAAATGTTTTCACTAAATATAAATGCAAAAAATGAAAAGTGCACGTTTCAAAATTTATAAGTAAAAATATTTCTAATTAATAATAAATTTTGAATACTTGTAGGTAAACTTGATACTTAGAAAGTGTCTTAGTATAATAATTACTCACGATAACTCCAAAATTATTATACTTCTATTATTTTGAAAGTGTACTAGTCATTTTTTACTTACAATTAATTCAAAAGTTTTTTCCGTATAGAGAAAAAATGATTGATTACGTATGGTGATCTAATTTTAAATTAATATCATTTGTTAATGATCTATGAGATCCATTTAGAATAAGACTACAAATCGATACATATAAAATATAATTTTTTTATTATTAATTATCTTACTGAATATTTTTATCAGTGGAATTAGAAGATTAAGAAGATACAAAAGACCTACGTAGATTTTTGTATTCTATGTTATTGCGTATTGTTTTAAAAGATTATCTGAAAAGACAAAAAAATGATGTTCTTTATCATTGGCAGATAATGATAAAGATCGATGTATTTAAATTTTATCAATTAATTTGCATCTTCACTATCGTCTGACCTTCTTGTATTTGCTGGATAAAAGTCAACGATAAGTGGCCGTGGACGTTGACCAATACCGGACGGTTGCTGAAGATCACATGCTTGCTCTTCGTTAGTAATCACATTGACAATCGTCTTTATCACAAGTTCATCTAATTGAGACATTGTTCGGTTAGGAGTTTTCATTCGTCTCAAAAATAATGCATTCCACTTTTGACGTAGATGCAGAACCAACTGGACTGTTTCGTAATCTAGTTTAAAAGAAATCCAGTCATCAAGCTTCAAAAAGGTAATACCTTCTCGACTTTCTTCTACTTCAGAATCAGATTCACTTTCTGGTATTGATTCTGCTTCGTAGATTACATCCATTGGTAATCTAGCAGGTCCACTAAATAGCGCAATAGTCATAGGATTGACTAGAGTAACAGTTTTAGCATGACAAAATCTTCCACATCGACTCATTTCCTCATAAACTAACCAATCAGAAGGTAAAGATTTAACACAGGCACTGTGTAATTGTGATAAATTAGTTTTGGATGATTTTGAAAAATCTCTCAACGTTGATGAAGGATGAAATAATATCTTAGATTCTTTTTGCGACCGTAATTGACCACATTCTTTGTCTACTCGGATTAAATTCGGATAGAGGCCAGCAGTTAGAGCGGCTTTAACCACAGCCCAATTTTCTGAATTTTGATTTAGGTCTCTAATATCACCTGACCCTCTAGCACGCACAAAACCTGACGCTCGCAACTGTCCAAGCATCTGAGTCCTCATTCCAACTATCATTTCCATAACTGCTGAGGAGATAAAATGTTTTTCACAAAATTGACGTTCCCAGCCACTTGCGCGTGCTTGTTGCCAACCTTGGAAAGCTCTCAATACTACCATATGATCAGAATAAGTATCTGCAGCGAATTTTTTCCTCACCAGAGATACTGCACGCTTTTGACAGGGTTGATGAGGAAGAATAAATGGATCTTTATAGGCCAAACTACAAACTATAGTTAAAATTGGATCAAGACACTTGAGAACCACAGCATAAAGTAACATTTTTCCTAGTCTTGGTTCTACTGGAAGATCTAAAAGATGTGTGCCAAGCTCAGTTAAGTCTTCCCAAGCGTTTAAAGCGTCAATAGATTTCAATAATTGTACAGCATTTCTAGTTATCATATTGGAAGGAGGTTCTAATGCTTTATCTAAAAATTCAGCGATTGGAGTATTGCCTGGAGCCAAATGTTTAGTAAATAAGCACAGCTCTTGTAGAGGTAGTCGTAAGATTTCTGGTGTCTGATTGGGTTGCATACTATTGAAACGCACTGGTGAATATAAACGATAGCATATTCCTTGTTGACATCTGCCGGCTCTTCCTTTTCGTTGTTTTGCACATGCTTGAGATATCCAATTAGTTTTTAAACTGCATATTCCTGAAAGTGCATCAAAAGCTTTTTCTTTGATTTTCCCGCAATCAATAACGTAGACAACATCGTCAATAGTAATACTAGTTTCAGCGATATTCGTTGATAAAATTATTTTTCTTGTTCCTTGGGGACTTGGCCGGAATATTCGCTTTTGATCACACGTTTGCATATTTGAATGAAGAACAAATAAATTATATCTCAATCCAGTATTCATTTTCTTTTCTTCTGAAAGTATTCTGTCTTTCATCATGACGATGTCATCATAACCAGGTAAAAATACAAGTATAGATCCAGGTGGCATCAGTGTATGAATGTGAACAATTAGAGTAAGTAACAAGTTGTAGTCAACATTATCATCATTAAATGTACTATGATAAATATCTAAAAGTATTTTATCATCTTCTGACAAAGAAACATCTCCAGATTGAACAACTTCTCGGTCTTCTACAGAGCAGTTGTAAGTTTTCATATATGCTTGAATTAATTCAGAACACTCAATTTGGTTCATGTTGACAGCCCAATCAAGTGCTGTCCATTCATTACTAGCTCGAATATTTAAATTAGCTCCAAGATTTAAAAGTTGTTCAGTAGTATTTAAACATCCTCGTCCAGCAGCAACCATTAAAGGTGTAACCATAGTGCTAGAATGTTGATAATCTACTGAGATATTTTCAGAAAGAATTAAATGAAGAAGTTGAGAAAAGTGATCTTCTCCACCGTGTAACCAGGCATCAGAAATACTATTATCCATTTCTTCTTGTAGCCATGGTTCAAGCTCGACCTTTTCAGGTACTGGTTCAGCCTGTTGACCTAATATTGGTGATGGTCGTGTATTCTTATTTTTAGAATTTTTGCTGCAAATTGGTTTAGGTATGAACTCAGTCCAAGATTCTAAAATTTTTCGTTTTTCTTTTTTATTCATCAACTCCTTTTTTTTAGTAGCTATTTTTTTTGTCATGTAACCTGTCATCCTTAAAATATCTTGAAGATAATAAACATCAACATCGAAACATCTTCCAGATATGTTAATTGATGTACATTGATTAAAGTATTTAACAAATATATTTGAATTCATAGTCGCACTCATTAGAATTAATTTTAGAGGTCCGTACTTAACTAAAGCTTCTTTTAAAGCGATTAGAAGAAAATCACAAAATCTATCACGTTCATGGACTTCATCCACTATAATATGAGTTATTGTTGCTAAAGCAGAATCACCACCCATTAGAGTGCGCAATAAAACTCCATTAGTACAATATGTTAGTATAGTTTTTGGAGCAACTCTACTTTCTAATCGTATTTGATAACCAAAAGTTTGGCCAATTTTTTCATCTCTTTCAAAGGCCACCCTCTCAGCCATTGAAACAGCTGATAATCTTCGTGGTTGAGTACAAATAATTCGACAAACTTGATTTTTTTGCTGACAGTGTTCAAGTATGTATTGTGGAACTTGAGTAGTTTTTCCACAGCCAGTTTCTCCAGCAATAACGACTACTTGATATGAAGATATTGCCTGAAGTATTTTTTCTCGACTACTATAAATTGGTAAAGACTTACGGAATTGTACTACGTCTTGATTTGTTCGTAATTGAGGAACTTGAGGTATACTATTATTCAATCGACCCATTGCTTTTGCACTCGTAACTACTAGACAAAAAATACTCATATTATATTTTATGACTGCATAAAGACTGTAGATATTAATATAAATTGATTTAAAATTTACCTTCATTGTCTATAGTTCTTTCACGTTCTGTTGGAGGAAGCAGATCTTGACGTTCTTTATTATTGAGAGGAAATTTTTGAAGTAAATTATAAATGCATTGTTTTGAAGACTTCTGAACTTGTAATAATGGATCAGATTGAATTATATTTGATCCTTCTCTTTTATATACAGTGAGAAAACGATTTGCTCCTTTTCTAAATAAGTAAATAATACAAAGTAATGACATGACTTATAAAAAAAATCAGACTAATTATTTATTTACCCTCTGCTTTTTGACTTCAATCCAAGTTTTACAACCATATGATGTATGTATGCTCGTTCTTCACATGTATATGATGATGGAAATTCCAATTCTTTTTGATCTGGAGACTCCAATAATTTCCTTATCGTTAAATGCACAGCTATTTTAGTGTCTTCACCAATTTTTAACTTCGCCTGCTTGTTTCTACGCCGTGGCATTATTTAGATCAGATCTAAATAAAAAAGTACAAACTAAAATTATAATATTTATTTTTTAGAAATGATGAATTTCAGTTAATACACTGAATCGTCTAGTGTATAGAGTTGAATATATTAGACTAAAAAAAAAAAAGTAAAAACACAACAATAAACATTGTAAAAAAAATGATACTCTTACCTTTTGAAAATAAATAAAGTTTTAAAAATTTTATATAATTATGAATAAATATTTTAAAAAGTTTTATTTTCAATTTATTTTGTATGGCAATTACAATGAATTACTAACTTGATCACAGTTAATGTTTTATAAGTGTGTGTAGGTCGTTTTGGAGCGCCGTATTCATCTACTGTGGTGGTCAACAAACAAAGAAAAAAATATTTCTACATCATATGTTCCACGAATTGTCATGTGTTTATAGTGACCACAAATATAACACAGATTAAAGACAATCCAATATTAATCGAAATAATATTTTATCCATAACTATATTTTTATTTCAACTTTATTTCTCGCAATAATTTTATTTATTTATCTGAGTCTCTAGACATCATTTGAGATCGTTACAATGTAAATTACGTAGTATGTGTACGACTACCGCGGATTCGTGGAATTTGGAGTATTTAGTACATGAACTGACTGCTAGTAGCGCTACAATCTCACGTTAGATATACGTATAAATAAATTTTTACCAAATTACAATATTAAAAATTATTGAAAAAGTTTTATTTCCCATCAGATGTACATATATGAATCATTGATATTTACATTTAACTGCAAACATGCAAAAAATTAGTACTTCAAAAAAAAATAAAGCAAAACGTACAATGAACTAGATTCACTGTCCAGCTTTCTCCAATCGTTGAATTACTTTTTTATACTCTTCTTCGAGAGTTCGATATTCTTTTTCTAACGTTTGAATTCGTACGGCGAGAGGAGGAATAGCGACATTAGCTGATGAATTTGGTTTTTTATCTGATAAATTTTTCAACGCTGATTCTAATTTCTTTAGATCTTGTTCCTCTCTTTTGTATGGTATATTTAATCTTTTTTTCACATCCAATCTATAATTACGATACTCTTCTTCATTGGATGTATCTGTATGTTTTAATCTCAATATTTCATAGACTCTTCTTGCTTGTCTTGTGTTTATTTTAAATTTTTCTGTAGCTTCTGAAGCCATTGTTTTATTGAACCCATTCAATAAGTTTTCTTTTGAAAAGCTAGGTAATGTAGCGCAATTGATGGCGTCAATATAATCACGAACACGTTGGAAGTTGACTGAAGAATCTTCAACTGAAGTACAAAATATAAACATAGTTTAGATTAAAATTGAAATGAATTTTTATTTAAATAAAAATTACCTGTAATATCTTTTACTTCATTTTTTCCGATATAATGTCTATAGATAGCTCTTAATAAATGAGCTCCAAGACCTAATTGTTGAAATGGTGGAAGAATAAGAATTTGAGCAATTCGTGGCCTTATGTGATGAGGATACGCATAGTACTGATACACAGTAGCAAAGCCGATGGTATAGTAACATGTGCTACCAGATGGTGTAGTTGATTTTTCATACATATTGAAATAATGCCACTGATCATCATCAATATCAATAAAACTTGCAGCATCAATATACCACAGAAGAAACATTTGAAGTCTCTGGTGATATTCTTTAAATCCCTTGCATGACATATCTGATTTATAGACTTCAAAATTACGAGTTCTATTTTCGTCATCTTAATAAAAATAATAAAATTAAATACTGATGCGAGTCATAACTTTATAAGTTATATGTGTAAGACTTTTATACCTGTGATATTAAATGAATGTAACAGTTCTCCATACGGTCTGAAAGATCCATCTTTAGACAATGATTTCACAAATGAATCTACATTGTAATGAACTGGTGGGGCTAATTTTTCCAGTAATTTAGGAAATACATCATCAGCTTCTACACCTTCATAAACATTTTTTGGAAATTTATCAGAATAAGTGACTCCAAAATAAGTTTCCAAACAACCAGCAGTGTAATATAATTTGATTTTTAAATCTTTATATCCAAAAATAGTTTCACTTGATAAAAAAAAAACTTGTTATTAATATACAGTAACGCGAAGAAAAAAACAAGAATAACGTTTGAGGCATAAACATGAAAATTACCTGTTTCCAAAAACTTGATGAGACATTTCAGGACCAAAAGCAACATCCGGATCATCAATGTCATGTTCATCTCTTATAAGTTTCAGCTCGAGAGCTTCATTGCTGTCAATCACATAGGCTTTTAGTCGTGCTGCAGTTATTTCATCCATGATAATATGCTGTAAAATGATTCCAATTATATTATAATAATATAAGAATATCAGAAAATGATAAATAAATAAAAATAAAATTCTCATTTACGTTCAACCGTTTTTTGAATAATAAAATAGTTTTAACGGTTATTAACTTAACCTCAAACTGCTGTATGTGTTTTAATATTTATCAATCAAATTAATTACATAAAATTAACAAGATATTTTCATTAATTATAAGCAAAAGAATGTAGTTTTCTAAAAATACTGTGTTTTAGATAATATCTTAAAGAATGAGAATCCGTTAATTTTTTTATTCTTACCGAGTTCGAAATGAGAATGAAAAAAAAAAACACTATTATTCGCGCCAAGTTTTGTAGATATATATTGGCGTAGATAAGCCATAAGTTATACAAGCCATAAGATACACATATGTTGTATTATAAAACACTCTTATATGAACAATATACATTTAAAAAAAAATTCTTCCAGTAGAATTATAAATAACAGTGGAAAATAGTTTATATAGTCCAAACGACCTGTGTATATACACACCCAAAATACATATCGAAATATTTTTTTCATACAATTCTACTCTTTCATTGACTCCAAAAACCATTGAAATGGTATTTATTGTATATTGTATATATCTGAACAGTATTCTTTGGTCCGACAATAGCTTTCTTTTGCTACCTATGAGCCTGATGAGGGCGCGAAAATTATAAAAATTATTTTGTTTTATTCCTGTTTATAAAAAAAAAAACTTACTTTTATTAATCTGGTAATTTTTACGATTTATTTATATCAAAAACAGAGTGTAACTGAAATTTTTTTATACAATTTTAAAATAATTCAGATAAAATAATTGTAAGGGGTAATCCCACATAATAATAATAATGATAATAATAATAATAATAATAAAAATAATAATAATAATAATAATAAACAAACCTATAAAATATAATATTTCAAACTTTAAAAGAATAAGTTGATCATTTTAATACATGTATAAAATATTACATATGTTGTTGAAATTTATGCTAAAATTCTTTTGAATTTTACTGCAAGTTAATATCAACTTAAAATAATCTTTTAACTTAATTATTCTGAAATTAAAATTACTCTTGTAGAATTTCCATTCAATAATGTATTTCAAAAACAAAAATTATCCCTCAGCTATTGGAGAGCCGGCAAATCTATCCAGGTACCATTTATGATTTGATATTGTTGCTAAAAGACCATTCTCTAAAACTACTGCATCAATAGATCCAAAATCAGTCATCGGCTTTCCTGATAAAGATGTTACAACCCCATCAAGAGAACTAAAAATTTTATCAATAAATAAAGGTTTAGAAGATTGTTGACATAAAAAGTAAATTAATTCATTGATACCTAATTATTGCAGCACCAGCACAAATATCCCATTTTTTTATAGCTGTTACATGAATATAAGCTGTTGCATTCCCTACAGCTACTTCAAGGGATTTATATCCTGCTCCAGCAGCAGAAATAATTCTTACATCATCCCCTAAAGCTGTTTTAGAGATATTGTGAACTTTTCCTGCATGTGATCGAGATACAATGAGTACTGGAGGATCATTAGATTTCGGCTGATAAATGCACATATAATTTCTATTAATCAATTGAATAACCATAACCAACATTATCTATGATTTAGCATATACACTACCTTTAATAAATTCATCAAATTATTAGAAACTCCATGATGAACCCAAGCCCAATAAGTCTGTTGGGGTTCGAAAGGTTTATGAATGACTCCAATCATAGGAACTCCTTTTATAGCTACACAAACCATTGTAGTTACATACTCCAATAAATTTTCTGAAATTTAAATAATTATCACGTTTGTTTTTAATAATCATGATTAATCATAAAAGATGCTTTTAAATTGTATTATATACCTGTAAATTCTTTTGTGGCATCAAGAGGATCAATCCACACAGTGATATCTTCAACATCCACAGCTACATCATATCTAATATCTATTTGTTCTAAAATAGTTGTATCAAATATATTGACATCTGTTGCTAGTTGTGAATCACATCCTACAGAATGTTCTTCAGAAATGACAGTCATTGATGGAAATAAAGTTGACAAATAGCTGTACATTGCACAATGTGATTTGTAATCTGCTGTAGTAACTGGATCATCAACATTTTCCTTAGTTTTTCCTTTAATTGTTACAGAAACTTTAGATTTTTTATAAACATTGACAATTTCCAATCCTCCAAGCTCTGCAGCACGAATTGATGTAGCAAGGAGTTTTTTTAAAGAAACAAAATCACGATTATTATTCTTTGCTAAGTATGGAGATTCACGAATGGCATATAGATATAAAATAATTAAAAAAATAATAAATAAACATAATCCTAGTTTGTTAATTCGGATATTTGCTCCAATATTGATTGTCATGATGATATATATATATATTTGTTTTTCGTTGTTAATTCAAAGAAGATGTTTACACTTAATTACATGTTCAATCGCTTATTGTTATGAATTTATATGCCGTCGTACACGTGGTAACGTCATTTTCTGTGATGTTTTAGAGTTTGTTGATAAAAATTTACAAAAATTTTAAAACAAAAGAACCTACGTATTTAATTATTCACAAATAAATATATTTCTTAAGTATATATTTTTAATGAATCAAACTAAGATAGATAAATAAATTAATATAGTACGAGTTCAGTCATGGTTGATTATTAGTTGGTAGAAAAACTAGTGCTACCAATTCCTTAAAAATAATTTTGTGTTTTGAGAATAATAAGAAAGAAATGTTTATTTTTATAAAACAATGTTTAAATAAAACCTATCTTTACTGGAAAGTTAAAAAGCTTTGTGAACTAAAAAAAAACAATTAATGAAGCATAAAATAAAAATGAACACAAACTCAGTGAATGCACAAAATTGATGTTTAATCTTTAAAATTTCTATAATAAATATAAAATTCTTCTTCATCTAATTACGATATGATTTTCACGTCTAATAATTTTTAATATATAATTAAATTTGATACTAAATAAACGAAATACACTAATGACTGCTGCAGAACATTTTATTAGTTTAATAACAGTAGCAAGTGCTAAAAAACTTGCTGCTGTATTGGTTATTTGTTTCATTTTTTATCATGTAACGATACATTTAATTTATGGTAAGATGTATTTTTTGTACTCAGATAAATTTCTTGTTTCATGTACAAAATTTTTAGTTAACGTTAAATATTTTCTGTAGGTAGTGATTCTTGTAAATGGCTTTTAGAAGAAGGCAGATATAAAGGAGATAAAGAATGGCAACCTTATGGTTGTATGATGCATCACTATTCTCAAACGTAAATACTTTTTGGAGTAAAACTGTAGAATATATTATTGATAAAACTATTTTAAATTTTCAATAATAAAATTTAAAAATATAAAAAATATTTAATTTGTCAATAAATTTTTTAGAGATAGTAGAAGATGTTTACGATATTTAGCTTTCATGGGTCACAAAAATCATTTTGTGTTTACTGGAGATGAACGAGTTCGACAATTGTATAAATCATTCATATCACAATTTATAATTGATGGAAAAGGATCTGACTTATCAGATTTCCCGAAAAAATCTGATTTAAATTTCAATGATGCTAAATTAAGATTGGATGTTCATTTTCTGTGGAGACCACAACTTAATGAATTTATGATTAAAGATTTTCGAAACTGGATGGTAAATTTTATTTACTTTAAATACACTTTAAAATCAATTCTTTTATTAGACTATTAATATTTTATGTTAGAAGGGAGATGCTCCATCAATGGTGATTGGAGGTTGTGCTGCTGCTGATATTCTTGCAAATAATGCCAGTGATATGAATTTATATACAGAATATACAAATGGACTTGTTAAACTTGTTCAACCAGCCGATGCTCTTGCTAAAAAAGGTTCAAAGTTTCTTTGGATGATGCAAGATCCAATATCTAAAGAAAATTTACCTGCTCAATTAGCTAGTATTGATAATAGCCAAATTAATATATGTAACAAAGCAGCTGCTGAGGTATAAAAATTTATACACTTAAATCAATTAATTAAATAACTAATATTATTAAATTTGTCAGATATTATTATATAGTGGAGCGCATTTATGGGAAAGTAGCAGGCTAATAGGCCAAGGTGTTTTAGAGCAGAGTCCAGATGGATATTTGTCCAGCCCTTTATCCCTTCGACATAAAGTGCAAATTATATTAAATACATATTGCAATGATTATATGAATTTTGGAGATGGTACTTGTTGTAGTAATCCAGAAGCTGCGACAACATTGCAACTAGTAACACTTTCAGCTCTAGGGTTATGCATTATGGCTGGGACAAGTGTGTGGCTTTATAAAAAAACTTGTTATAATAGAGTTGAAACGTCATATTCACAAGTTGCTACACATGAAGTAGAGGAAGCAGTAAATATGAATGCATCCGAAACAACAATTTCAAATGAAATACCACCGCCTAAAGATTTTTATACTTTAGCTACATCTCTTGCATTATTTTCGTGCATCTTATTGTATTTTTATATATGCGATCGGTACAATTAATGAATTACACTAAAATTATTTTTATGACCATTAATTTTCTAAATTTATATAATATTTGATGTTTTTTAGGACAAATTTTTTCATGAAGGAGAATAAATATTACAGTGAGTTTAGTTTTTGGTTACCATTAGGATATATTTTGGCTCTTGGTTTATTTTTCACTGAAGATTGTGAAAGAGGTCCTAGAGCTCTAAATCGCGAACAAACCGATGAATGGAGAGGATTAATGCAGGCAGTAGTGTTGATATATCATGTAACTGGTGCAAAAAATGTATTGCCTATTTATATGCATTTGAGATTAATAAATTCTGCTTATTTATTTTTATCCGGATATGGACACTTTTGTTATTTTTGGCAGACTGGGGATGTTTCTTTGGTTCGTTTTGCCAAGGTAAGCTTTAAAAAATCATAATCTTTTTTAAAATTATATAATTGATTTGGAATAAATTTACTCAGGTACTCTTTCGGCTGAATTTATTAGCTATTTCACTTTGTCTTCTCATGAATCAGCCCTATCAATTCTATCACTTTGTTCCACTAGTATCCTTCTGGTTTTTAGTTGTCTATTTTTTGGCCTGGTTACCACCAAGAGTATATTCAGCAAGTTTAGTTGAACATGGAACGCGAATTTTACTCTATTTAGCATTAAAACTTTTAGGTTTAGTATGTGTAATAACAATTCTCTACATGTCTGAGGTAAGAATTTTATTCATTTAGATAAATAATTCTAGATTTGAAATTGAAAATAAAATGGTGATGATTTTAATAGGTATTTTTTGAAAAAGTTTTTGTAACAAGACCATGGAAAGCACTTTTTGTAACTACTGACGATGATATTAGGGAATGGTGGTCACGATGGAGAGTAGATAGATACAGTGTTGTGTATGGTGTTGCTTTTGGAGCAGGTCTTTTAGCTCTTCAAAGGATAGATCATATACCTGGAAGTGCTCTCGCTCCATTACTTGCTCTGGTATCATTAGCAGCTTACGCAATGTTTACGATACTTTGTGTATCTGTTGCAGAATGTGAAGAAATTCATTCATACGTTGCTTTTATTCCAGTAAGTTTATTTTATTGTGCGTTATTAAACAAAATAACTTATTTTTTACTTATAGATATTTTATTTGTAGATTGTAGGATATATTATATTAAGGAATTCATCGTTGGCTCTAAGGGGAAAATATTCAGTACTTTTAGCAGGTCTTGGAAGAATCAGCCTAGAAACCCTTGTTGGACAAGGACACGTATGGCTTGCTGCAGATTCTCATGGAGTTCTTGTATTATTGCCAAGATTTCCAGTACTGAATTTACTTGTTACTTCTTTTATATTTATTTGTGCTAGTCATGAGGTAATTTTTATCACATTTATTTGGGAATTTTTTAACATCATTTATTTATATTTAAAAAATAATTCTTTTAGATTCACAGATTAACACTTGTTCTTTCACCATACGCAGTGCCAAATGATTGGAAACTAGTTGCTCGTAATTTATTACTTTTTATGGCTGTCTTAGTACCTATTGGAATCAATGATGGAATGTTTTAATTTTCATAAAATAATAAGCAATTAACAATTGCTCATGTCAAGTATTAACTTGAGAATAATAGTGTAAATAATTTACTCTCACAATAATCTTATTAACTTTTTGATCTGAATAAATTATTATTTTGGCTACTTATATGTAAATAATCATAAATAAAAATACATTTTCGAATTTCTACATTGTTTGTTTATTGTAAAAATGAAAGGTTTCAATTAAAAATTAAAAAGGAAAAAATTCAGATTATATTCATAAATAAATTATGAATTCAATTTGATTATAAAAATTTACGAGTGTTTATTCTATAAGATTCATTGTTACATGTCTGAAAACTAAATTGCGTGAAACATGAAATAATATTTTTTTAAAACTAGTTTATTAAGTACCACTTTTCAGTTTACTGCCCTTTGAATATTAATAACTTTGCTTGGTTTATTAATCATTTGATTATTTATTTTTATTTAATACAATATTAATTTTCTATAAATTATAATGCAAGTAGATTCATTTAAAATGCGGAATGTTCCATAAATTTTCCTAATATTTTCTTCTATAAAGCTTGAAAAAGTTTAAAATATTTGTCAAATTTTGTATTTGATTCATGTATATGATATTATTCGGAAGATTATTTCATGTACTTTCCACATAACGTGTACTTGTCTTAGTTATAAATGTAATTTATTGTAGAGAAATGAACTATAAAAATTTCTCTGTTCTTTTCTTTTATCTTACATTGAACATTACGTCAATAATAATAATTATAATAATAATAATAATAATAATAACAATAATAAAAATAATTATTATAATAGTTATAATTATAAAGCTGCTTAATTGAAAAAAACTATATTTATTATTGTTATTATTAAAAATATTAACAGAAGACTATAAATCTATAAATAATAATAATAAATATTAAAAATATTCATTACTCTTTCTTTTTTCTGAAAATGATTTTTTTATTTATTTGTTGTATTCTTTTTATTTATCTTCATCAAGTAATTTATAATTCAAAGTAACGACCATATTTTCATTATATTAATGTTTACAAATATTATTAAAAATATCATTTGGACCATTTAATTGTTGAGTTTTATTTATATAATGGACTGCAAAAATTTTTTTAGTTAATATCTATTATGATTTAATAATTCAAGTGAATCTTTAAAAAATTGGCAGCTTCAGAAGGTTGAAAATCTATTGTATTTAATGTTATGTTATTCAATATAGATTTTCATCAAAATAGGCATATGCGAATCAGAGTGTTATAGGAGCATATTTGAATATTACTATATATTCGATTAGGCTGTTTTTTGTTCACAATAATTAAATAATTATACTCTTCTTTCACTCGCTTTCTTTCTTTCTTTCTTTCTTTCTTTCACACTCCCTCACCCTTACATTATATTGTATGATATTATTAGTTTTTATTAATCCGCAGAATGAAAGAGAATTGACGAAAAATTGCGGATATAAAATTGCTGAATTAACATTTTAACAAAATAACCATATAAAATTTAAGTCACATTATTATATGTATTTACTAGAAAGGCCACCAGTGTGCTTAATGTAAAATTACTAATTATTTTAATTATTCATTGCGATTCCAGAATATTAAAAAATTGAAGTATGCCTCCGGGGCTGTCTTCGAAAAATGTTAGCATCATATATGTGATTTTTTATTCAAAAATAACTATTGCAAATATCGTCAACATTATTTAACAATAATCAAAAATGGAAGAAACATGCAATTATGGTTAAACATTTTATCATATTATTAATCTATAAATATTTATGCAAAAAAGTAATATAATAGTAATAATAATAATGATGATATCAATAGTGAATAACAGTATTAAAAAATAATAGAATCATTTCGCGTTTATTAATTAATGCAAAGAGATTTGCAATAAACATTATGACATTGATACAAACAGAAAACTAATAAATTTAAAATCAATAAGATGATTCAAAAGAGTTTATAAAAATTTCAAAGCAGGGCAATTTTAACGAAAAAGGGAAAAGTTATTGAAGCTTGATAAGAACGAAGTAGAGTAAAATTTTCATTTTTTTTTTTTCATTTTCGATATGTATTACCATTTCGTTCTTTGTGCTTTTAATATACTACGGAAGTGTAAAAGATTATATTTCAGATATTTAATTATCAATGCATCATTCAAAATTAAGAAAAAAATAAAAATTTTACTATAATTATTCTTTTTATCAATAAATAAAATATTTGATAAATGTTTGAAATGCGCCTTGAATACCAATATATAGTTTAAAGTATGTAATGTTTATACATTTATTATTCAAAGTATGAACTCTAAGATCTTTTATTAAAATCTTAAAATAGAATTGCAATCTGATTATTCCTTGCGTTCATATTTGTTGATGTAAATTAATTTCTTCATATTTTTATATAAACTAAACGCACGGAATGAGACAGGAAAAATTATTCCATATTTTTCCTCAGTGTGGTCGGATTTTCAAAGTATATTTTAAAAAATATAATTTACATGTTTTCAAATTGATCAACACGACGTTTGGTATTACCTTTACGAATTTCACGCAATGTTTTATATTTATCGCGACCTTGACGTACATTTTCTCGGTGAATTTTATCCATTACTGTTTCTTTTGTCTCATCTCGTGACTGTGCAAGATCTTGTTTCAATGCCTATAATAAAGAACAAAGAAAAAAATTAGTCATTAATTATTACACCGTGAATATTAAATATTTAATGAAAATTCATCAGCATACTTTAAGTTGATCATGTAGACGCTCATTTCTTTCAGCAAGTGTACGACGTTCTTCAACAGGATCAATAATATTTTCATCAGTTGTTAATTCTTTAGTTACATCACGAGATTCTTCATCTTCACCTTCTTCTTCACCATCTTCATTTTCTTGGACATGATGGTGATGAGGAGTAGTATTAGCTTGCATTGCTCTATCAGCCTCTGCTTGTCGTAGTCTAGTTAATAAATAAAATATTATTGTAATACCAATTTATAAAAATCAATATCAATCAAGATTAATTTAATTATTTAATTACCTTGCATTTTCAACTTCTTCTTGTAATCTCCTAGCTTCAGCATCCTTTGCATCAACTTCCGATTGAATACGCGTAACTTCTTCCTGTTTAGCTCGAATTTCTTGCTCCAATTTAGCTCGCTCAGCAGCTTCCATTTCATGAGAGCGTTCAAGTTTCTCCATCATAGCGGTAAGTTCCTTCTGACGGTCTTCTAATTCTTCTTTAGCCGCTTGTAATTGTCTCAACTGTTCTTCAAGACGTCTGATCATCTCTTGAGCTTCAGTTAATTCAGCTTGTCGTCTATCCATTTCCTCAGCCATACTCCTTAGCCTTTCTTCATATTCTTGCTGTTTCTTTTCAGCACGTTCTCTTGCCGCAATTTCCAATTGAAGTTTTTCACGTTGCTGCTGTTTAGCAATCTTTTCATCACGAGCTTGCGCCTAAATATTCATATGAATTAATTATAATTTAATAATTTCTGATAATAATATTGTTTTAAAAGTTATTTATAATTAACAAAATAATTACCTTCATTTGTTGAACGTCAATAGTGTCAGGTTTACGTCTACGCATATAGAGCTCATGATTACCCATGCAAAGTGCCAGAATTCTCTTGTTAATCTTAACTCTAGGTGCAAAAAAGACAAAATCTGGTGCTTTTTTGTCAATAGGTTTGATAATAAATTTTCTTTCATTGAAAGAAATATTTCTAATTTCTGACCATGGAAAACCAATTTTCGGTGTTAATTTGTCATCCTTTTCATAGATATTTAAACCTAAAGCATCTACACCCAACCAGATCTCTGTTCCCTTTTTATTACGGATCTCGAAATAGTTTACACCGTACATTTCTAAATCCTGTGAAGCAAGAAGAAAACTTTCTTTATTTAAAGCGAAATTATAACGTTATTAGTCAATAGTAATAATAACTTTATCAATTAAGTCGTAAAAAAAAGTAATTAATTACCTGAGCAATTTTTAGATATTCCATCATAGCATCTTCACGAAGCATTCCGCGATGTTCTTGCCACCAAGTAGTAATAGAACTCTCCCATTCTTCCTTACTCATTTTATGTTGATCCATAACTCGTTGTGGTAGTAAACGATCATTAGCGAGAAAGCCGGGCATATGAGTTCCTTTCTGGAAATCTCCGTGTCTTGCTTGAACTGCATAGGATGCAAGAAGGACGGATGTTTCTGGTGGACAGTAGATTTCATCAGTGAGGATTGCATTCTTCACCTACAAAAATTATAAAATAATTTTACATAACATATATATTAGTACATTAAAGTAATATTTTAAAAGTGATTCAATGATTACTATGCCAAATATTTATTTTCGTGTTTGCTAAATTATCAGTTTTGATAAAATTAATGGATTTTAAAGCTTACAAAGCAGTTAAATATATTTTATAAAATAAAAACTTCTTATCTATTATACTCACTTGAAGATAAAATAGCCGCAAAGTAATGTCCTGGATAATTTCTTCAGCCACATCCTCAGGATAGAATTTGGCACGAAATTTAAATTGCAAAGGGTTCTCTTTTTTGACTTCTTGGCTCATTACCTGAAATAAAATAATAATAATAATAACAATTACAAATAGAAAGAATTTCATATTATATTTCATTTTTCATGCTTCATCAATTTTAAGTTATATAATTGCATAAAATAAATTAAACTTATAAAACATATTTTAATAAAATTCATTATGAATCACATATTTAACTGTTGAAATTAAATTTTTAAATAATTTAAATAATTAATTTCATTTCAAAGCAAATATTCTAAAAATAATTAATTTTCAAACAAAAATAGTGTAATTTACATTAAAATGAAATAAAAGCTATCTAAAAATAGAATAAATTATCATTTATTAATTATTATAATTTTTTTGTTCAACTCTGGATTATGTACACATTTTACATAAACTTTATCATAAACATGTTATAATTATAATATCTTGGACATTTATAAAAAAAAAAATAATAATATACTTTTTAGTATTTTTTATTAAAAATAAATGACCTTAAATTAAAATATTGTTTACTTGTTAAACAAACACTGTTAATCCAGAGTCAATATGTGATCATGGTAATAGTTGATAATTGATACAATCAAACATTAAGCAAAGCATATCTATAAAAATATAAAATAAAAATTTATTTTACTCTATCATGCCTCGCTAATTTGTTTATGTATATTAATTTTTTTATTTGAAAAATATAGTAAATTTTTAAAATCCAATTTTTTTTTTCATGTAATTATTTTACATTTTTATAAACACTTTTGTTGGTTATTTATAACTTTATTAAAAAAAAACAAATAATAATCTGAAAATGAAAGAAAAAAAAAAATACTATTATTCCATAAAAATTTAAATTTATGATTCTTTAAAAAAAAATGAATGAATAAATTTTGCAATGAATTATTTATTAGTATAATAATATTTTCTAAAGATTATTTACGCATAATCACACTGCATTTGTGCAAATGTGCTACGAGTTTTTCGGCTTATATAAAAAATATCAGCTAATATATTTTATTCAAATAATATAAAAAAATGTTTAAATGTAATTGAAAATATGTGCTCAATTGTGAGAAACAAATTGGGATTTATACACAGGATGTATTAAAAAACAATACTGAAAGACACGCATTGACATAATTCAATAATTAAAGTCTTACGTGCCAGATATTTCTTCGGCCAAATGAGAACACCTGCAATAATTTGTCAATTGTCATACATTTCGTTACTCATTGACTCTTATTGTTTTTCTTATTTTCATTAATAATAATAAAATTGTGTCTTAAGAAAAAAGTAAATAAATAAAGTTCCATGCATTCAAATGCATAAGTTTTTTTAAAAATAAAATTTATTCTTATGCTTGTAATAAAAATGATTATTATTATTTTAGAATTGCAAACATACATGCGAAGTTCACTGAAAATAATTTTTTATTGTTAATGAATGATTTAAAATATATTATACCTTAATATACCAAGTGATTGATGTAAAAGCTTACCCAAGACAGAAAAGGAAGTCCTCTCTTCCAATGTTAAAATTTTAGTTAGCATGCGATTAAAAGATTATAAGATAAAAAACATTTTTACATTAAATTTTTTTTATATAAAAAATATACTGTTAAAAATGGTTTATTATTTCAAATAACATTTTAGTATTAGTTATCAAATTTATTAAAAAGATTTATTGTTACTTTTATTAATTAATAGTGTTATTAAAAAATTATTATAAAATATAATATGAAAATACACTTTTTAGTTATTTAAATATTTTTGTGAAATAAATGTAAAGATTTAATTTTTAATTTTATGTTATAACTATCAAGGACACTAAATTGCCTTTCGGCTAACAACAATCATATAATTAATACAGGACGTTGGATAAGAATCCACAAGTATTAGTATAGATACGAGTACAAGAAAATCTTCCTCTCTGACATGCAATTTATGGTTTTGAAACTGATATCCTTGTCACTTAACTGTATCATTAATTTAAACTTATAATAAGCTTAATTGTCACTCACGTTCTTTGATTTATGTATTTTTCATTATTTTTTTATTAAGTCTATTCGATAAGTACGTTTACATTATAAATGAAATTTTATTTAATTAATTAAGAAACTTGAAATCACATAAAATTGATTGAAACTAATCGATACATCAGTAATATGACCATAAAAATTTTTTAAAAGTTATAGGTCACTATGTTCAAGGACATAAATGTGTCCTCGACATGTTTTCTGTTGAGCATATAATTACTTAGCTTATTTCCGTATTCTATGTTATGTAAAATAGCATTCAAAAATTCAATAATCTGGAATACTGATTTAAAAATAAACAACTATAATTCAAGGATGGAATGAACTTAATTGATAACAAAATTACTTAGTTGAAATTTATCTGATATTATAAACGAGTACTTTTTTATTAATAACATTGTCATCAGATCTAAATTGGATAAATAAAGATAATTTGTTGTTCATTAATTTTGACATTAATTTTAGAAAACATTTGTTATTATATTAACTATTAAATTTATTATCTATTTAATATTTAATGAGTAATAAATAATGGTTTTAACGAATCATAACAATAAACTGTTTAAATGTTTTTTTTTATTAAAAAATGACGGTTGGTAATTATATAAAATTTTTTGAAGCTATTTTATACTCTGGAATTAACTATTATATATAGATTGTGTTGAGTCAATCAATTGATGATTTTTTTATACTAAACAAATAATCTTCAGATGACTGTCAATTTTTTCACTCATCATGTTTATAGTGCTGTGTAAGTAATAATAATAACAACTATTATTTTCAATCAAATACAACAAAGATATTTAAAGTCATATTAAAATTTTATTCAACTATTAAGAGGTGATTTGTAGAATTGAAAGAACATATTGATAAATCGATTAAAAATATAACTGACAAAAAAGAAACTGACGTAGAAGAATAATAAAAAAAAAAGCATAGGTTTTATTATTCTAGAAGATGACATAAGTAACGTACATAAAGAATTGGTGTGAGAACAGATTATGAAAAAATATAATACAAAAATGATTCGCATGGTATAGAGGTACAACATGACAAGTTCTTGTAGTTTTTTTTGCTAAAAGTTGCGTAAGAGTCTATAGTCCGTAGCTTTAAGAGCACACCTGTAGCACACTAAAGTAAACTTATAACTGTTTTTGTGTAATCGTATATAACGTTATAAGCACCTTGAAGACACAAAGTAACTGCACTCATTCATTTATTTTTTCAAATATCTGGATCAACCACATTATAGGAATTTCAATGATGCCTTACTTCCAAACGAACATCAATACCTTTATAACAGTTGGAATCCTTGATAGGAATATAACAAGATGTTGGACAATTATTTATAAACTTGAACTTGGCCACTTGTACATTTATTTTATAATTAAATAAAATCGTAAGAATATAAATAATTGTTGTGATAATATGAAATATTAAATCTGATAAAATAATCTAGATGCTAACTGGTAATTATCTTAATGTATCTCCAATACAAATCAGTTGCTTGTTCAGTTGTGCACATGTTTTTATAAATTTTAAAGCTTAAATTTCTATTGAATAATGACTTTGGATGATTTTTGTCAATTATTAAAAGTTTAAATTTTTTCCATCTTACTTTAATGATAATTAATCAACAGAGACTTTGAAATTAAAAGCAAAATAATTATTATTGCTTAATATTAATAAAAAATATTATTGATTGACTTGGAGTAATCATTTTCATTAGTATTTTACCATGCTATTTTAATCAAACATTTGGAATAAAAAATCCAACTTAGAAGTTCTTTCTGAAATTGAAAGTCTTTTGATAAGATAACACCATTAATGAAATTTGAGTGGATAAGCATAATAGCTAAGTTATTAAAGATTGTCTTTATTTTATTGATGAGTATCAAAATATATATATATATATATATATCAAAGAGATATTCTATGTAACCTTCATCAAAAGTGTTACACAAATGATAGGCTGTTGATGCGATAATAATTATCGCAAATTCTAGATGAATTACATGAGTATTACATTCACTGTAATTAGTAAAGTGCATTTGATATCAGGAATCGGTTGCATTTAGGTTCACCAGATTCTAATCATCTAACCTATATCAGTGATGGATTATAATTATAAGTTATATGACAGAATGAAAATATCAGTAATCATATGATGAAGTTTGTATTTATTCCCTCATTTTTTTTATTTCTATCCCAGCTAAAGTAACCAGATAGACTAGTTTTTGAAAGAAGTATTTAACAGCCTGCACATTGAAAAGAATCAATGTTATTATATTTGCACGTGACACAGATAGTGTATGACCGGTAAATGTATAATTTTGCATAGAGGTATGATATTGTAAGCGAATACCAGTATGCTAATAGTATTATATAGTTTTATTGTGTACTATTTAGAGTATTCAATAAGGAAAACTTAAATTTCGATTTGTCTAAGAAAAACTGAAAATACTTAATAACAATAGAATAGTTTTACCTATTAAAAATGCAAGCTTTACATTTTTTTCAATGACCACTTGAGACTTCTCAAGTATATGTAGCTCTAGTCCAACGAGACACGTAATGTAGCGATGGACATCGTTATACCCTTGAACGCTTTCTTCAAGAATGAGGGAAAGGACAAACGAGCACTACACTTTATCATCTTCTCTATTCTAAATTAACTCTTACCAAGTCACCGTCGTACTCGTCGTCATCAGTGTCTGAATCTGAACAACCTCTGAGCTTTCGTACTTTCCTTTGCACTTTCTTTCTCACCACTTTTTTCATACCATTTTCTGGCTGCATGAAACATCGTATTCATACCAAAAAAATATGAATATAGTTTTCTTTTGCTTGACAAAAAGTCGAAGAAAAGCTCAATCTATGAATACCAAATAAATTTAAATGAATATGTGACGAGAAAAAAACTTTGATAAAAAGTTGCTGAAGATGAATATAGCATAATTTTTACTACATAATACACCAATAATACTCGACAATTTTTTTATATGATTACTAATGTTTGGTCGAAATTACAATGCTTACTCATTCACAATTGAAAGGAAAATTATCTACAGTACTATACGGCTTTACTATCTTTGACGTACGATATATTTGCATTTATACAATCTATTAATGAATTTAATAATAAAAAATCATAAAGTTCAAGGTCATACTTATTGTATATTGTTTACTTTTTTGTGCGAAGAAAAATAATGTGATTTAAAAAATTCACTAAAGATAATTGCTTATTGAATATATTTAATAATCTTTCTTGGTTCAAATGTTTATTAAAATGATTAAAAAAATCTAACATTAGTAAAAATTTACATAAAATTTTTAGTATGACAAAAAGATAAGCTTTTGCACACATATGATTAACCTCGTAAGTAGAAAGTATCACAGACGATGATGATGACGTTATTAGCCATATCTCCGGGAATTTATTTTTTACTATGACACAAGTGACTCAAACTTTATTGTTAGCTACGAAGATGTGTAAATCATTAAATTATTTATTGGAAGGAAAAGTTGAGCACTTATCTTTATAAATTTCTATGAAAATCTTCATCAAAATTGATAGAAAAATACAACTTTGGGTTATTATATTATATCAACTTTTTTTTTACAGCGAAAGAAGTGATGATCAATGATGAGATACTAAATAATTACAATGACAAAAATAGCAGAAAATTCAAAACGTAGTTGTACCAATAATTTCAACACACTAGTTAATAACTGATAAAAATTATTTTGTAAAACAATAATTACATGGTCCTCTATAGAACTTTAACAAACTGGATAATTTAAACATTATAATTAGACATTGAATATTAATGTCTATCTAAATAATAAAATAAATAAAATACACATATTTTAATCGAATTATCTATGATAATTATATCTAATTTTAGCATTAATTGAAGACAATTAAAGAACTTGTTCGAATGTGAATCTCCATTGCATATTAAGTACAAAATTAATAGATTAAATACTTTTATACATCTTTAAAACTAAAAATTGTAAAACTTAAACAATTATGTAGTTCATTAGATTAAATATTATTTAATGAATTATTTATAGAAAATAATTATTTTAAATTTATCGACTCCTTAGAGATCTCTATGTTTATGCTATTTTTAAATGGATTGTCATTATAATCGTTATTAATGTAATGTATTAGTTAGAATAATTCTTATTGAGTTTATTTTTAACTCAACAAACCAAAACTTGTTGTTATTTAATATATTAATACTTTAATAGCCTTATTGGCTTCTTTACTTTCTATGTATTACTGGTATTTCTAGTTAATTTGATACATAGAATATAGCAAATTTATATAAAATATACAAAATTGTTAGTGTACCAAAAATTCATTATAAAATCAATCGTTTTGATATGTTTAATTTAGAAAACACATAAACAGAATTAGAATTAAAACAAATATTTTCATTTATTTTGATAATTTAAATATTGAAACTGTATTAATCATACCTTCTTGTATAATTTGATCCATGTTAAATCTCCTTTGCTATCAGTATATTGGAGTCCAAAAAACCAAACTTCACGTAAACCAATCGTTTTGACCACCTGGTCGAAGAGTTGCTTGCCAGTTGTTGCCTGCTGGATAGCAAACTCCAACTCGGCATCCATCGTCGTCACCCTCACGTTCATCTGTAAGGGAAATAAACGATATTAAATTTTGTTATGATAAAATATTATCATATTATATGATATAAGAATCATAACTTTCAAAACTCATCAAAAAATTTGTAAAATCATTTTTTACTTTTGATAGTTGTCATTGATTTAATGACCACCCGGTATATAAACACGTAGGATTCTTGAGGAATGAGAGTTTGCTATATCAGCTCAACGGTTAATATTACAAACATTTTTAGGCATAATAATGCCATCATTTATATTATAAATCACATTCCTATCAAAGTTTTGTTGCTTTTTTATAGTTAATGTTACATTTAATGGCAGTTATTGTTAATGACGACTGTTATTTTTATAGCTTGCTAATCTCCATTTATTAGGCTAAGGAAACGCCTAGTAAATACATGATGCTCCGCTTGCATGACGGGCTTCCTTGACTACAACGGATTTTTTTTTTTAAATTTTATTATCATGTCTGTCTAAATTTTTCATAAAAGTTGCTTGTAAAATCAATTATTCTACATGGAAAATTAAAATTATATTAAATTTTTATTGACTCAATATTTTATTCAACAATTTAATATAAATAGCTTCTGTAGTAGTGTGTGTGTGTGAATAAGTTTTATTTTCAATTTATAAACTCCGTATTATTGAAACAAATATGTCAAAGCTTGATAAGGGCAAATAAATTTAAAATGAAATTGACTGTATCAGTTACGAAGCCTTACCATCTTCGAGCTGGCAACCATGGCTGTTTACACTAAATGAATTTGGAATTAACGACAATAATGGAGTGAAATGATAAAGTTATCAGAGAAAGTAACACACAAGTCACAGATTTTTCTCAATTGATCAACAAATAATTAATTTTCAATTGAATTTCACTCAAAAGATGGTATATTTGAATTCACAAGCATTCAACTGGTCTTATCAGACTGATGTACGTTAAATTAATGGAAGCAAGCGTCCACAACTACTGTCTGAAACGAATATGAACTGATCGACACGCCGGTTGGATACAGGTCGCACAATAGGCCAAAGGAGCAAGTGCAAGTGGCGTCTCCTTCTGTTGATCCCCTCTTTTTCATTCCCTACTCTACTCGATAAATCCAACGTATCGTTCTTTCGCTTGACTCATTTGTACGATCTGTGCCGGGCAATGCAGCAGGTCAGCTGTTTCACTTCTTTTTTCATAAAGAGCAACGGAAAGAAGAAAGATAAAATATGCATAGTCACGTGAACAAGCCGGTTCGCGAAGTTGTACTCAACTAACGTGCTGCTAATATACCGGGTGATTTTATTCAAATTCACGTAATGGAATTACGTATAGTAAATTAAGAATTAAGTGATACGCGACATGGAAATCGCGTGATCATTTGTAAATTTATATTTGGGTTTTGTACCTTATAGCTTTTATATTCATATATGTAGTTACAATTGATGAATCATGAATAATTTTTTTCTCCGTTGATTTTATGTAAAAAAAAAGGTAATTGAAAAAAAATTTTTTATTGTTAATTCTGTCTATAGTCAAGTAAAATAAACACGTAGAATATTTGATTCCATGACATATTTTCTATGAAACGCGATTTCTCATGAACTTATACATTTATATTAACTATTTAATCATTATAAATAAATAAAAGTAATGAAAAAAAAAATTTGTTAATATCGGATACATTTAAAAAATACTTAAATTAGATGCATTTTTAATGCCCATTTCATCGAAAAACTACTTAACTGATTACTAATTCATTTAACGGTTATTGTGTGAATTAGTTGTCTTGAATGAGTTTGTAATAAAATCACTTTATAAAAATCGAATTTAATTTTAAGAATGTTAAATTAATGAAGAAAAATATTTATTATACCAATTAATTGAATTAATTATATCAAACTTGTGTCAATTCATTAGAGAATAATTGATTCAGACTGGATAAAATTAATTATGAACGATAAAAAAGAACCAAAGAAAGCGAGCGAGAGAGAGATAAAAACCGGAAATGAAAGGATAAATTAGAGGAAGTAATTGACGCGATTTTAAGTTAATAAATAGTGAAAATACTAAAAGTTTTTGATGTAAAATTTTTATTGAATAGTTAGTAAGAATATAATACAAATTAGGATCAGAGTAATGAATGAAAGTTATGATTATTCATTTATTTTATAAAAGAGAACGTTTAAATGACCGATTATATTAGCATATTTGGTACATACAATTTATTCAGTGTGTAGTATAATTTAAATATTACTGAGTTTGCTAATTAAATACGTGTTTCGTTAATCTAGTGATGTTTATTTTATACGTATGTATACAAATAACGATACGAATAACTATAGAGAAAGTCCAACTTACCGACTTAGGCATCGTTGTGATTATTTATTTTCGCAGTCAAAATAAATAAAAATCTGAAACAAATTAAAATAATTTGTATTATAATAGTGTCTCTAAGAATAAGTGTCATTATTAAACAGTGAAGTTTTGAAAACGGACTGTGAAAAATGGTAATTATTACCAGAGACAGTACACTGATAGTAAGTAATAAAATTTAAAATTAAAATTAATTGATAAATAAATTGCAAATATTATTTTATTGTTAAGAAAACAGCCAAACAGTTTAATATCTTAATTCGTGTTTCTTCAGCAAACATCTGTCTGTTTTATTTTATGGCTAAATATAGATGCAAAAGTACATATATTTTTGTCTATTTTCGTTTAATAAATACGAAAATTATTTCAAACATTTCCTTTTGATCACTTGAAAATCATTTATTTATTTATTTTTTTATCGTATAAGAATTGATATAATAATTTCTCATGAAATTTTATGTTCTATATTTATGATAATGATTTTAAGATGAACACATAGATTTTCTTGACTTATAAGTATTCAATGATATACCCAGAAAAAATATTACTTTTTCATGGAAAATAATTTGAGTTTTAATTGTTAAATTTTTATTTAAGAATCCCATATTGAACTCTGGAAAAGTTAATTATGTAATTTAACTACAAAATAAAGACTAAACAAATACGTAAAATATAAATAGAAATGCAGAAATATTTTCATTACAAATTCTGTGAGAAAATGTTTATAAAAAGACAATATGTACCTGTTCAATTAATCTCAATATTTCATTGTTTTAAAGTTATTATCAATGTGTCAAGTATGTCTGCACCAAATTTATTAATAATTATTGAATTTACTTTCAACTAAACAAATAAAGTTGAAAGGAATAAATTATTAATGAAAAAAAAAAACAAAATTATAAATGATATTTTGATACAAAAAAATAAAATATACGGATGAAATATTTTATTTTACTAGATTTAATGTCTAGTTTTGATAATATTTTATTCCATTCAAATTAATTAATATTGTGATACTTTGACAGAATACTATCAGTTGTGGAATTAATTGTTTCCAGAAATAAGTCTGATTAATCACTTTATACAAATTATTTCGATTTGAGTTTAACGACACGTGAACTATATAAATTTTAATTTAGATTTATAATTTCTTTAATTACTTCATTTGTATAACTTTATTTCATCGTATTAGAGAGTTTATTAATCAAAAGTTATTACAATGAATTATTTAACTAAGTTATGATTTCATTTTCAGGGTAATAAATAAAAAAATTTCAATGTCTTTTAATTTGTTTCCTATTAATAATTAATGATTGTTCTAGCTATTAAATAAAAATGATGTAATATATTAAAATAGTTTTATGACCAACAAATATAAACTAGTGATTAGATAAAAAATAAATTTACAGTAGGATTTTAAACATTAAAAAAACTAACAAGTAATATTTTAATAAAATCACAAAAAGATGACAGTAAGTCTTTTTTAAATAACATGACAATATGCACTTCACAACTTCAAATTGTAATTACTCAAATTATTTTCAATACATACATGCTAAGGTCACTTATGTATTTCTATATCCATTGTCTAATGTTTTCTCTTTGATGTTAGTAAAATAGTATGAGAAAATTGGCCGTTTTTTATGATAAAAAAAGTATAAGTTAAAATATCTAGTGAAAAAAATTTGAAGAATTAATTACTATCCGGTTAAAAACCTGTTAGAAAATATTGAGAATAAATACGATTTTATGTATTCATACGATTACAATAATTGATATTCATTATTTACTGTATAAAAGAATAAAGTATCTACGAAAGAAGTGATTACTTTGCATTAGTCAAGCGGCTTTTTTAATATTAAAATAATATTAATATAGTGCTGACAGTGTGAAATAACCTTAATCATTTCTTAAAGTTTAATAAACAAGAACATATAATAAAAAAAATTTATGCATTTAGATAAAATAATTACAGAATAACTTGATGTTATAATTCTTAAGAAAAATTACCAACTTATTACATACATTTCTTATTCAAAAGTTTTCTGATGAATCTCCGAAGATAGTTCACATTTTTCTGAGTAATGAAAATAATTGAATATAGCTGTAACTTACCAAGTATTTACTTTATTTTAATGAAAACCGATATTGTACATGAATGATACATCAATAATTAGTCAATAATCCACTTTTTATAATCGTTCTTGAAGCAACAGAATACCGTAAAATCCACACCCAAAAATCCCGTCACGTTGAACAAATAATGACACCTCACTGATAATATGGCCGTCACCGTCATACTTCTCCCACTCTCTTTCAATTTTGTCATCAAGTAATATAAATTTCTACACCTAGATGGCTTTAGTTTTATTGAGAAAATTAATGATAAGTTATCATTTATTTTTTATTTTATCGATAATATTCTAAACATCACGCTAGAGACATCTATAGAGCAGATTGAAATTTATTCATCAAAATAAACTCATTTGATATAACAGAATATCAACATGGACGTATCAATAATAAAAAGTCAAAATAACGGGCATAAATTTTGATAACAACAATCATATTCGCCATTGTTTCAATATGAATGTTTGAATTTCTAATAAAAGATTAATTTATTTTTTTTGTACTGTTTATTTTATCAGTGATTGTTCATTACAGTATTCATTTGTAAATTTTATTGGTCATTTGTATACAATAAGATCAAAGTAAGCAGCATGTGCCGACTCTAGAATTAATTAAATATCTGATATAGAAAGTATTTATATCATTTAATTTAATACTTAATTATGAAGAAACGAAATATAAATATACATATATATATATAGAGAGAGAGAAAGAGACAATCGCTGACAATAATTTAATTAACAATTATTTATACACTAACTGGAGATTTTTCTATGTTTACTTGACTAATGATGGAGCTAGTGGAATTACATAGGAATACAAATGAAAATTACACAGTAAGAATAAAAATAACAGAAATATGTACATGAGAGGACTATAAATTTAGTGCTCACTGAAAAACACCTTTTATGCAAAGTTCTTTTGTAAGCTGGATGAGCTTAAAAAGTTAATGGAACAATGCAATGCCCTGAAGCAGGGAAAGGAGCAAGATTTTAGTGATTATTAAAAGTATAAAATTAAAAAAGGTAATGTAAGATCATAAAAAAAGTTTATTATGAATATATTTTTGAAACTTCATATGAGTAAGAATGTTGTTCATTACGGTACATTCAATTATGCATGAAAGATTATAACAAAATTTTTATCTATCAAACTTATTTTTCAAGTTGAAAATGAAATTTAATTATGTAAATAATAATATTAACATTTTTTTTTACTTTCTATTTACAGGATTATTTAATTAAACTCCAAAATCACTATCAGACGGAAGGACTATAGTTTTGAGATCAGTGAAATGTGTTGATGTGATGACAATAAGTCTAATCATGAATAGTAATTTCTTCGTGAATTGTAATTTTTAATGAATAAAAGGTAATTTCTTTATTTATTTCATAAACTTTTTTTCTTTCTATTCTATCAATAATATAGAATAGAAAATAGAATAACTTCATTATTTACTTAAAAAAATGTCTTTATTTTTTTAGACTATTATTTAAAGATCCCTACTTATATATGTAAAGGTCAATGAAAAAAAGGAAGCGCTGTTGGTATGGAAAGTTGAATAAAACTAAGTAGACAGATAGAAAGTCGAATTCAAGTAATTCTTTTTTGTCGTCAACTGTTGATTAAGCTTAAACATTTTTTTGGGTCAATGATTATTCTTCCGGTAATTTATCTAATTGTTCATCTGCTATTATATATTTATCTTCGAATAAAAAAAAGCATAATGCATAATACGATTATTGTCTCGATAAAAAAAAATTATACCAAAATTGAGTACAGTGAACTTTATGCAAAAAATTTAATTGATAAAATTACATTCTGACAATAAATTCTTGTAAATGTGACATTGGAACATCAATCTTCAAGTGCTTTGTTCTTAAAATAGCGAAAGTCTCGACCGTGACTTATAAAAATACTATTTATTATTCTTACATGGCTACTTTCACGTAATTTTGAATTAATAATCGCTTCCGGAAAAATTTTAATTCAATAATTAAGTAAGTACGAGTTATAATCAATTATACATTATGCAAATCATACCTTGAAAATGTGATGAAAAATATGAACAAGCAATTAAATTTCCATCAAAAATGCAAAAAGTACAAACATAATAAGTAACTAAGAGTGATATTTTACCACAAAAGAAATGTGAAGTTTATTTGTAGACGCAAAACGAATATTTTTCTCTTTCGCGTAAACTGACCACCGTACATATATGTATAATTAAAGGTAACGCGGTAAATTAGCCACGGGCCACACTTTAAATTACGATCGCAGCCTAAAGCAGATTGTTAACGGATTATAAGAAAGTCTGCTTAATAGAGGAAGATAATCGTTTCCCCAATTAAAGTATTTTGCTATATTTCATCTACCGCAGTCATAATCGCATGAAAAACATTGTTTCCGTTAATCCGAACGATTTTATGGATCCTCTAGGCAATTATTAGAAAACGTTTTATTTTTTTCTAACGAAACACATATTTTACCCCTTTCCTACTTTCACTTTCATTTAAATATGAAAAATATATTTCTTCTACTATTTAATTAATGACCACCATAAATTTTTACGAAAAATTTTCATTAATGTATTTTACATTTTATGACATAAATTTTACATTCTTATTTTATTTCAGGTAATTCGCAGGTACAGAGTTGGTCGTTGTCTGTAATGAAATGAAAAATCTACTTATAACAATCATAAAGTCAAAGTACTCCAAGAGAAGATTTTTATCAATAAATCAAGAAGATCCGATATACGTCAACGTGAAAAAAAAAAAGAATGAATTGAATTACAATTTTTACTGTCAACATTAGAAAAATATCGAAACAGAGTCAGTCAGTCTTCTTTATCGCTTTTCTTTGAAGTACAAGCAGATGAGCACGATCTCATATAGAAGCAATAAATATTTGTGAATCTTCAGTCTTGAAGCGATTTAAAGTCGTGACTCTTGTAATTCTGTGAGGTTCAATTCAGATCAAAGTACTCTGCAATCGACTCTGAATGTAATAATAAATCTCTTTTAGACACATATTTAACACTTTTTATTTGTTTAAAGAGATTTTTATTTTTTTTCAATGATTCTCATTGGCTTTCTTTCGTGCTAATACAATTATTAATTCATTCTCGGTGCGTAGAAGTAAAAGAATTAACTCCAGACGCGAGCCACGATTATGCGTTTATGTAGCACCTTGAAAGTCAAACGCGGTATGTAATATAATATCATGTACTTGTGAAAGCCACTACCACCTTGGACATGCCTGCACGACTTGAATCGGCTTGAATCGCGCATACCCAACGGCCAATGCTTTTGATATAATCAAGTGCCATTCGATTGCCGTGTGAACGTATTAAACTCTCTGTAACCTTCCTCATCAATTGAGAACTTGTATAAACCTTCGATCGATAAGTTGTATAAGATAATAGGTCTTCGATATGGATATGTAAAATTCCAGATTAGGTAAACCATGCCGGTCTCAGGGTAAATAACTTCTTTATCTAAATAGGAATGTTTCACTTCTTTTCAAAGGCTGTGATATAGCTTATGATGTGATAACTATATTTCAACTAATATTCAATTTATGAGAAGAATTCCTTGACGAGAATATGAACAATTATGATCAATTTAAAACTAATATAAATTATTTTATATTTCTTTTTTCAGCCACAAGAGTTTATAAGATTTCTTATCAATTATTGTATTCATTCTGTCCCATGAACTTTATTTATTGTTAGTTTTATCTGTTTTTTTCATAACTATATTTATTAAATTTATTTTAACATGGATGTGATAAATAATGAGTAGCCTTATAGTCTATTTCATTACTTATAAAGATGATTTATTGTTTTTTTTTCATGAAATATTTAATATTAATGGTCAAGGATTTCCATAAATATAATTGAGTTGGATTTTTAAGGTCAAACACCTTGAATCCATTTGAATATTTTATTTCCCTACTGTAAATTGATTGAAATAACCAAGCTATTTGTTAAACTATAATTATATATGTATATAAGAATTTTACGGAAATAATCCAGTCTGTTAGAAGCGTAATTAATTAAATGAAAATAAAAAGTAAAAATTAGTTTCTAATTTATAACTTTTTTTAAACACTTCAATTTCAAATGACGTATTTCCGAATGTAATATACGAATTTTAGAAAATGTTAGTGGATTTTAAAAGTTGTCAAGGTAAATTAAACATAAATAATTATTTTTATGTAAATGAAAAATTGATTAACATTTTTTGCTTTCCTCGATCAATTAAATACCGATGTGCTTCGTTAGTTCAGGAGTATTTAAAAAATTATTAAGGACGACAAAAATACGGTACATTCTTTCTATGCCGAATGATCTACTTAGAAGAAGAAATATAATTATTAACCATTGCTAATAACAATAAAAAAACTCATTCACTTTTCCACCCTTTTATTACATTCTATCAGTACGATTGGCTTTATAATATAAAATAAATTACTTAGCGTAATCACCAGAGTGAGCTTTCCCTGCTAAGCATCTTGGACCACTGTATATAGTAGTTACCATCCAGAATCATTTTTAATATGAGTTTTAAAAATGTAGTAGACTAGTGTAGAACTCACTCTCTTGATTCTTAACAACATCCGCTTCTTTTACGAGTTGACTATTTTCACCGGACAGTCATAAAACCTGATATAAAGTTACTCTCGATTCTATATGTTCGACACTATTTCAACAATTTCCTCTTTCTTTTCTCCGCAATTTCCTTACTAGTAAGACAACATATATTTATTCCTCAGACACCAGAATAGTCTGGGAATTACATAAAGAACCACTATTGTACCTTTCTCATTGTCGTGATCGTGTCATTTGCATTGCAAGACAGAAAAATAAGTTTATCATCTTTGCAGGATGTTGTAAATGTACCCTCGAGATCAGAAATAATGCAATAAAATACATTACCATGCTACCAATAAAGGAATAATAAGAAAAAAACAAGTACTCTAGTTAATTTGATGCTGGTCAAGTACACTTATTTTTTTTGTTTCTTTTTAGAAAAATCAAAATCATTATGATGATTAATACTCTGATAATTACGTAATGAAGTAAGAAAATTCTTGATAATCATCTAAAACGTATAAATCCTTTATATTGCACATACCAGAGTAAAAATAGCGTAAGCATTACAACACACACTCTCAGTATTAGTTTACTACAAGAGGCTGGAAAATATTTACTGGTTATTTTACAGTGAGAGTTTATTGGGCGGATATAGCTATGCAACAAACTTTGCTATAGACGTGTACTTTCTTCGGTTCAATTGTATATGAAACAATAGCATCCATGTTATATTAATGTAATAAACACATCGTGTGGTATACTTTTATACGGTATCATTAAATTTTCGTCATGCACACTCATGAATCGTAACGCCCTTTCGTCAACGTCAAAAGAAATTGGCTCTTCTTTTTTTTTGCAAAAAAAGTATTTACATTTATTAATATTTTTAATATCATACTATTACGTATAGTAAATACTCTGATTTTTTTTTTACTCTATGTAAGAGTTAAGTTTTGATAAAAGAATTTTATAATTTTAATAATCTTATCAGGCATTTTAAGCTAATTATTAGATGGAATACATTTTTCGATTAAATGATGCAATTAATTAGTCAATTATTTACTTAATAACCACATCATTAGACGAAAGTGTTAACGAAATTTTCCTTTGATTTTTTTTTCTTATCATTTTAGTAATTATTTTAATGAAGAGATAGTTTTAATGAGAAATAAAAAGTGAAATGAGTTGTTTGAATTTTCTTGGAAGAATCCAGAAAATTTTTTATTTACCTCAAAAAGAATTTTTTCGTATCATATCCAGGAAGACGAATTTATGAATTTACAGGTGTATAATTGAAGAGAGATGAGTGCTTAGTCCAGAAAGTAAGTGAAGACCATGACCTCGGAGTGCTGATGGAGGTTATAAGTCATTGCATTTATTGAAGCAGTGAAGATACAATAAAGATGATGCTAAGAAAAAGATAACATGTGATAAGAGAACAATGTTTGTAATGTATATAAAATGCTCGACAATCTAACTATTACCTAGTCACGAAGTCTTGAATTAAGATGCCATTGGAATTCACAGTTAACAATACCTATTGATTGATTCAATTGAATGATCTTCTGCATCTTTTTAATTTTATCCTTCGTTCTATTGTTCCAATTGACCTTAGTTGCAGTTTATTGCCATGTTTTTGCTCACGGCCACTACAGGTGACTACTGATAATGAACCAATATCGATACTTTATTGAACTGTTAACATAATTAAATTATTTCAACAACCATTCTCTACTCTCATTGTCGGCATACTTCATAAGATCATACTTAGCAGAGGATAGAACACGTTCGATCGTTTGAAATATTACGCAATATAGAGATGGTAAACTACCGATCGTTTCTAATTTCGACACACGTGTACTCTCACTCATTCCTCCATCTTCCTCTCGAGGTGACACTTCCATCTGGTACATAACATTTTCTTAGAATAAACGTTCAATTTACATATATCTGAAGATTAAAATAAACAAAAAACTTTTTTATTTGTTTAAATTTATAACATGACTATTATAATATTGGATAATTTCCCGTTAAAGTCAATCTTTGACTTGCTTCGTAATGCAAATATATGCTCTGATAAAGTGTATTTATCGATTGTTATAAAACAAATTTTATTTTTTGGCTTATTTCTTTTCTGGAGATGGAATATAATAAACTTATGGCTTGCGGAAGTTTTTCTATTCAATCTTAGTGACACAGACAGTTATATGTATATAACTATTGAGTAGTGATATTTAATTAGTTTTTGTCGCATTACGTTATTATTTATCAATTACCATCAGTTCGATTAGTTTTTATTGAAATTGAGGTAAACAATAAAAAATTATTCCATGTTATTCAAAAATGCCGATCACTTCCTCAGTTTAAAGACTCTAGATGTTTTTAAAAAAAAAAAAAAGTTTCTTGACAAAAAATAAATAAATATTTTATTTTACAGTTTTATGTGTGGGTCAATCAGGTCAAACACGACTATCTTACTTTCTTATTAATTTTTCATTCTAGATATTTTTTTCTAAATCTTTACAAATAAATTCCTACATTTAATTTGATGACTCAGACTGGAAGTATAAAAAAAATATTGTTTCTCTCTAATCAATCCAAGGAATTAATAATAATGAATAAATATATACATATATACGTATACATATATCAATTTAGTGACGAATCTACCTGAAGAATTGTGTTTTAAATGATTTTTGTAAGTTGAGATAAAATAAATACATGAAAAAATAATTCGCTACTGAAATTAATGAATGTAATTAATTAATTACAAATATAAAAAAAAATGAGTTGATTAAAAAATTTTTCAGAAAAAAAAATGTTCAAAATAACCTTTATGAGCTGCTGTACGTACGAGTATCGTGATCACAGTAGTAATGGAAAGAAAAATAAGACAACGCCCTCAATGGAATTGTAACGATTACATAATTCGTTGATTAATTAGTATTGAGAAAGTGTGAGTACTTTGTAATTCAAGTCGAGGTATGGAATTAATCTATAGTATAACGCATATTCTGCGGCCTGGAATTATTTTAAAGACAGTGGACAGGTGTTATTACTTGTGAATATTTACAATATATTTGTCTAGAGGATCAGATCGATCTCCCACCAATTGATTATTCTTCCTGGAGTTTAGTATTGCAATCATAACGTCGGTCATGGTTTCGACGTGAAAGTAAAGTCTTGGTTGACTGGAAACGCGTGCCCGCATGGTCTCCTGGGTACTTTGATGTCTGGGGTGGTGGTAGCTTGAACACCGTATAGCGAGAAGGCCCCTTGCCAGCACCTACTTCACCTTCTTACTTGCTTGGAGGGCCTTACGACAGCCACCACCGCAGTCAAAACACCCAGAAAGAGACTTACAGTCAGACACTTCACCAACAACTGAGTTTCGGTTCAGACGCTTAGTTCCTATTGTTTTTTTTTTTCTCGTTGAGTATTTTTTCTATTGAAAGTAAAGCTGTGGTATCGATTAACGTGAAATAAAGTTTTTTATCAAATAAAAAAAATTTTTTTTTCTCATTATCATTAAATTACTTATTTTGTAAATAATTTAATTGACAATTCAGTTATTAAAGTTGTTTTGAAAAAAGACGTAAGTGAAGGACAAGTGATTTTACATCTGTTTTAAATAAATTTATTTCATTAGTGTGTTTCTTCAAAGCTTTGTATTAAAAAATTAAAATTTATATATTTGTTTTTCTCAATATTTTATTTATTTATTTACTTATTTTTCTAAAATGAATTAAAATTTTAAATTGTTTTTTATTAGAAATTAATTTTTATTTAAAATCTGTTTAGATGAAAATGGTGTTTTTCTATTTTAAATCATCACAACTACGTAAATTTTTTATAGGAAGATCGAGTGCTGAGTGTATTTAAAGTGCACATTTGGATTACGTAAACAAATTATAAGAAGTGCATAAAAAAATTTTTTCAAAATGAGAGCAGCGGTGTTGGCCGCTTGCTTCATTGGCATTGCCTTGGCTGGTAGTCCAAGATTACCAAGAACTTCAGCAGATCAACGAAGTATCAGAAATGCACATGTTAACAACAATATCACGAATAGTCTTTCGGCTCCCACAAGAGGAACATTACGAAGCCGGTGAGTGTTTAGCAATATATTCATACTGTATACAATTTTAATGTTTATTTTTTATCATAAAAAAATTGAAAAAATATGGCTTTTGAAATCGTAGTTAAAGTTTTTAATGGTTTATTTATTGCAAATTTATGGCGTTTATATGTATTAAACATTATAGAACTTTTTTAAAAATGATAGAAAAATCGGGACAGTAATGAAAATTTATAGAAAGTGAAAGAATCGTAAATAAGTATCCGAGGGAAAGGATAAGGATAAATATAGAGTCAAAGTATAAACTGCGATTGCAGCCTCTGATCTACTTATACTACATAAGATGTTGATCCTAAGTATTCACGAGTTCACGATTTTTAATTGCGTCACTTGTCAAGGAAATTTCATATTAATTTTAGATTCATGAATATTTAAAAGAAAAGAATTTATAACATAGAATTGATCTGGGTATAAATTAAGTGTTGGCAATATTATTTCTCTTGGTAAATAAATTTTTTTAATTACCAGAGTCAATTAGTCTTATTGAACAATTAATAGAGTGAGTGAGTAATACAAAAGTAGATAAATCTGATGGATATTCAGGATTTTTTTGATAGGAAACGTACAGATATATTTAGATTTATATCTTCAGGATGTTTTATACACTCTTTTAGTATCTTTCTCCGCCTTGAGTTGCACCTCTGGATGATTCCCCCATACATTAATTGCGATTGCATCCAGCACGATTTAGGACCGGGTTCGTTAATTAAAGACTCGTTCACCGCAATGCTTTCAATACTTCAGAGGTAATTTCGAATTTACCCTGAGGTATTAACATTTGGTACCAAAAGTAAGTATCTTGACCACTTGAAAACTTAAGACCCAGACTTGAATATGGTAGAGGCATGCCAGTCACCTTTTGTTTGAGTCGGTGAAATTGCCGGCTCATTAAGGAACCAAACGGTGTTAAATGGTTACTTAACTTTCAATGAGTATCGACACTTTGAATTTTTAATGAAAACAGAAAAATTCCTTTTAGTTGTTTTAGAATCAAAAAATTCCTTTTTTCGTTTGCTTTTAATCACTTTAACTTTCATAAATTAAATTTTCATGCGAGTTATTCTTCATTGTGCTTTGCAATGTACTCGAATTACAGTTATTAAGCTTGATGATAAAATATTAATAATCTTTCAACACAACCAGTTCAATCAAATAATTATGGATGAGAATTTTAATTGATTCCAAGATAATTTTATGTTCACTTACTTCAGATTTATTGCACTAAAAAGTAACTGATCCCCGATTATTTAACAAAATGATCTGACTATCGAAACTAAAATTTATTTATTAAATGATCATGAATTTTAGATCATTGAATGAAATTTTTTGTTGTGATTATAATAGATTATGACCTTTTTTGAAACTGTCACACAACTTGTACAAATAGAAAGTTGGTCCTCATCCACTGTTGGGTCTTATTAAATTTTTTTTCCTGTTCTATATATCTCAGTCTCACAAATCTCTGACAATTAAAAAATTCTTTCCTAATTTGGTTATTAATTAAAGTCATAAATCAGTTTTTTATCACTTTTTTTACTTTTAGATAACATTTCTTCTTACACTTTGAACTTTATAATGAAGTTGAAAAGTTAATAGATAAAAAATGACAACAATTTTGAAGCAGAAAATTATACATTTAAATATTTCAACAATTGATCAAACTGATAAATAATTAATATTCACTAATTACTATACAATTAAAAAAATTTCTAAACATTATGGGAAATTAATTAATAAAACAACCTTGACCGAGCTTCATGTACCTGTATATCTCTTATACGTTCAGAACTTTCATACGCTACTCATTTCCTTTCCAGAAAAATCTTCAAGGTTGGCTTTGCATAAAAATGTCTTCTCCAGTATCTCCATGATTACCGATACAAACAGATGGATGAGTTTTCAATATCAATCGGGAAATATTATTGGATTAACTTCCTCCTTTCTTTTTGAAAATTGCTGTATGCATTCATGTAATGCTCTAGTTGACTTGAGCACGTAATTTGTGAGTGTAAGAGACGATCATGTCCAGGACACAACAGGCTGCAAGTACTTGTGCCTTATTAATGTTCTATCATTTAAAGCTCCATCATGAACTTCCTTATTTACTTGTCTTACCTATTATAGATGTGACCGTTTAAACATATATAAATACTCACTTAATTGCTAAATGACCGCGGAAATTGCTGAATTAATTTTTTATCCTTTCCTCTTAGCTTGCATCAACATTTCTTTCTTAAATATTGAGAAAAACATTTTTTACTTTGTTCATGTTGTAATATTTGTATTAATATCTGGTGAATTAACTGAAAATGCGTCGTTTATACCGCATTTTATGGATTTATGAGTACATAATTCACATAAAATTACTGTGATTGTTTTCATTGTAGATAATATTTCTCAGTAACTGTGTAATTTCAGTTGATATTCTTACTAAATAATAAGAGAAATTGTTATCACAGTTCTATTCAGTTGATGCAGCATTTTCATTCGCTTTAGGTAAATATGCTTCTCATGAAAAGTGAGATTGAAAGTGACAAACTTTCCACAAGAAACTGAGGTCATTGTATATTTATATTTATATTTATCTCAATAGCTTTTATCTCTTGCGTTATCATTCATTTTATTATTTAAACATTATTTTGAAATGGAAATTCAATTGTTTTTCAATTGAATAGAATGAAAGATTAATAAATATGGAAAAAATTTTATCAGAACATCAAGATTATAAATTATAATTTTATTTTAAATATAGTATATTTATTCATGAATATAATTGGAAGTTAGGATCCTTCTATTTTTTATTATAATTAGAGGTAATATAATGATTTATGAATAATTTTCGGATCGTGCTATTGTTTGGAGTGACTTTAATTGACGGAAGTCTTAAGTAGCAGGTAAAATGTCTAGCTCTCAAGATTAAAGTGCATTTGAAAGTTAATGGATTAATTAATGAACGTCAATTGTTTAAAATAAAATTCGGGATGAGCCTGTTGAGCAGTATATAAAAGAAAGACGCTCAAAGAAAGTATGCGTTTTAAACGATTAGTGTTAGGTAACCATAAAACCGGCATGTTTTCACATTGGTCCCCTCTACTTTTGTGTCAATTATGGAAGTGATCGCACTGGCGTATGCCACTCTAATGACCCTCCGATTTTCCCACTATTTTTAAAGTCAATAAAATTCATCTGCAATTAATAGTTTTAAATGCGGTGTCTTTTTTAGATCTATAAAATTTTTTTCATGTCTATCTTATTCACTTTTAGTTTGTTTCAAGTACATACAGATTTTATAAAGATTTCAATTATTAAGTACGTTGAATAGCCAAAAAATTATCATGTTGCAGTCAATGAAGTGCAGGTGTATATGCTTGTGATGTAATCTTCCAAATTCAAGGTGTAATTATCTTTTATTATCTTACCTGGTTATAAATAAATCTGTTTAACTTACAAAATTTATGGATTGATTATTATTTTTGCTTTCAACTCACAAATTCAAAGTTGGTAATTATTTTCTCCAGACTAGAGTTCTTAATTCATTATTTAAATGATATTTCGATCATTTTTGGTTGTGGAGTCATCATGAATGATTATTGAAGTTTTCTTATTAAAAACAACTCATCCAACAAAAAATTACTTGGATATCTAGTGAAAATATAGTGTTAATTGAATTTGTTATGAGCAAGAGAGAGCAATAAAAGTAGTTTGATCTACTTAAACCATTGAAATATAAGGGAAACAGTAAATAATAATTATTGATAATAATCAATAATCACGAAAAAAGTATTGAACTAAAGAAACTATTAGAAAGGATGCAAAAGTAAACAAGAAATTTCTACATGATATGGGTCAATCATAAGCTACCGCACAAAGATATAGTTTGATCATCCACTCTAGAATAAGTCATCATTGTAACTGATTTCTGAAACAGCTACTCTTCCATAACCCAATAGCACATTATTATAGAATTACAGACATCAAACCTGTAAAGATATAAAACTAGTAGTAATAATTGAGAGTATATTTACCAAGTTTTGTATATTTAAACTGACACTTGGTTCAGATTGACTGACCTATTATTATTGGTCATTGAATGGAACTTGCATTCATGATGTAGTGTTCTTGCACTTGCATAAGATCTTGATCCTCTTTATGTGTAGCTGTTTTTTTTTTATTTTTCTTCCTTGAAAGTTCAAAGACTCACTGTCACGATATATAATATCTTGTTATGCTGATTATCCCTTACAACACTGAAAAATGTCCAAGAAAATATATTTGAATTATTATTCTCAATTTTTATAATTTTTTTGCCATTTCATTAGTGAACTTTGCGTTTTCTAAATTAGTGAAATTTCCATCATATAATATGTATTGATCTTTAGAGATTACCTTTTACTGTAGAGACTAGATGTGCTCATTAAAGTCTAAAGACTCTTACTCAATATTTATTGATATTATTGTCAAGATAATATGATACCTTTTGCTCATTAAGGATTTTTACACCAATATTAATATTCATGATGTATAAAATAATTTTAAAAATAATTTGCTTCATATAACTGGCTTATAATTGTGTAAAATTACTGCCATCACTGAAATTCATAAGAGGCATAACAATTTATTACTTTTCTATAAGTCTATTTATGTTTTATTTGCAGGACATTGAATGAATATTTCATTGTTATTATGGTTGTTGGAATTATATTATTATCAAATAATATTTATAAATAACAAATTGAAAAAACGACTAGTATAAAAAATAATTGTGTATTTCATCACGTTGAAAAAGGAATACGACAAGTACAAGATACATTATTACAACTGTAAGACGAGACAACTTTTAAATAAAATCGTAGAAATAAGGCATTGATCCTCCTTTTGCAGACTCTTAAGTTAATACATGAATGGAATAAAAAGTAGATAATGTAGGAAATATTGGCAATACTTAAGTAATGATTAAATTTCAAGAATGC